CAGCAGGACGGGCGGAGGCCCCGAGGCCGGGCAGACACAGATGTGGTTGTGCCGTACGTATGTGATGTGTGCACCGTGTGTGCGGTGTGGCAGGTCCTCTGAGAGAGCCCTGCTGATAGACGGAGTCATAAGAAAGGTGAGGAGGTAGGGGCGCCTGGGGGGCTCAGTCGGTGAAGCGTCTGCCTTCGGCTCAGGTCATGCTCTCAGGGTCCTGGGTTTGAGCCCCGCATTGGGCTCCCTGCTCAGCAGGAAGCCTGCTTCTCCCGCTCCCTCTGCCTGCCACTGCCCCTGCTTGTGCTCTCTCTCTGACAAATAAATAAATAAAATCTTTAAAAAAAACAAAAGAAGGGTGAGGAGGCCGCTGGGCATGACGGTCAGAACTCTGTGCTCCGAGGAGGGTACAGGGAAAACCTGTCCCTTAAGGCTGCGGACGTCCCTCACTCCTCAGCTCTGGGCAAACAGGAGACAAGAGTGCTTGCAGGGCCGGTGAGCTGGGAGTACCCGGGTGGGTACTCCCGCATGGGCAGGTCAGTGGTGCGGCCCCAGGGGCCCCAAGAAGCCCACCCCCCAACCAGCTGGGGCGGGGGCTGCTGCCACCGTTTGCCACCCGAAGAAGCAGGGGCACGGGTGGCAGTTTTATCCCTGCCTCTTGTGGTCACAAAGGGTTAGGCCAGTGACTCCTCGGGAGCAAGGGAGCTCAGAGTCTAATAGGCCTGTTTATTCATCCAAGGTGACGGGACCCAGGACGAGTGAGGGCTTGCACAGATTTGAGAAGTAGCTGGCTGGGGAGCCAAGAGGACCTGGGAAAGCACGTGTGCAGCAGGCACCAGGGGCCAGGACTGGGAAAGACTTGCCGAGCAGGCCGGGTGTCCCCTGCAGGCGCTCCAGCACACTCGGGCTCCCCGGCTGGCTGTGGTCCTGGGCGTCCACGTTGATTCTCAAACTTCCAATGCATGGGCCTTGTAGAGGTTTTCTGGCTGACAAGAGCAGGTCCCTGGACACGCTGTCATGTAAGTGAGCAGGCAGTGGAGTATGAGAGACCCGGAGCAAGGCCACTTCCGGTGCCACCAGCCAGCAGTCACCTTGGGGAGGATCCCGGGTCCCTTCCACCCCCAGTGGGAGGTCTCTCTCCTCCCCAAGCAGATGGGTTATGCAGGACCCAGGGGTTCGGGGCGTGATTTGTGCCTTCCTCCCCCATAATTCTGGACTGTCAGCCCAGACTGCTCGTCCTGCCTTTTCCAGGAACCCATGTCAAGCCTTGGCATGCCAGAAACCCCAGAGAACCAAACCAGCCATAGGGCAGGGCTCAGGCTGTCTTCAGATGTCCCGCTGTGGGACCTGGGGGCATTTCTCATCATTCCTAGGAGCCGGTGTGAACTTCTCAAGCACCTGTCCAAATACACATTCGTAGCTGGAACACCACACAGTGATTTAGAAAAACCCACTGTCCGATGGATGGCACAGGCACCACATGGCTGAAAGTGCTCCCCTACTTTTCTCAAGAACGGACAACACCTACAAGTGACGGTGGTGCACCTGCTGTGGCAGACAGACCCAGTGGTGGGGTGGGGGGCAAGAGAGAACCTGGAAGTTAATGTTTGGGTATCAAAAGCGTTAAGTACTTAGGGACAAACCTGACGGAAGTGTGAGACTTACACACTGCCAACTGGAGTGTTCCTGGGGGAAATGGAAGATCCAGGCACACTGCGGGGTCTGTCCTGACCAGCACTGAGCTCCTAAAACCCTTGCGGTTTCCCAAGGGAGAGGAGTGTCGTTTGTTATTCACAAGGACCCCTTTCTACCACACCTGGACTCCTGGCTCCTAGCCAGGTGAATGTGACCCCTGGCCTCTGACCTCTGGGGAGGCTGGTGGTTGAGCCAATCACCAATGGCCAAGGACTGATCCATTGTACCTACACAATGAAGATAAAAACTTTTGGACAGTGAAGTTCACTGAGCTCAGCTTTGCAGTCCCTGGTAGAGCGTGGGTGCCATGGGGTCCCCACCGCAGCTGGCTGTGCAGTGGGGGAGGCTTGGGGGACGGAGCCCACAGCCTGCAGGGTCCATGCTGACTCCAGGCGGTTGGTGCCAGAGTGGGATTGCTGGCCAGCCAACGGTGCCAGAGAATCGGGGAGTGGAGTTGGCACTGCAGGCTCCCAGCTCCCACACGGGTGAGGGGTGTGTGGGAAGGAGAGCTCTCAGCCAAGGGAAGAGGCACTCTGTTCTGACCTCTGGCGACCTGGCAGAGCCTGCTCCTTTGTGCAGAGCACAGATGTGAGCAAAGCTGGGCATGAGCTTTCCCCTCCGGCCCCTGCTCTAGCAGGGCTTGCCTGGTGAGGTGACGGCCCCTCATGCTTTGGGACTGGTGCCAGCAGGCCCAGCTGGTGACCCTGCTCACCCTGCACCCACCCCACCTTGATCTGCTTTTCCCCCTCAGACAACACCTACTGTGCCTCTGGGTTTCACCTCAGCCCCCCTACCCCCAGCCCTCACTGCACCCTCACCAACCCTTAGCCAGGGAGTGGTAAGGCCCTCACTGGGGTGTGGGGGGTAAGTGGCCCCTGACACCATCATGTGTCTCAGAGTTGGACGTTGGTTTGCAGTTGGGAATTTTGTTCAGTTGCTGAAACAGACACGTATGTATCAGAGGAATCAGGGAAATCACGTTTCCCAATTATTTATTTAGAAAACCCTGCCCGAGGGGCACCTGGGTGGCTCAGTCAGTGAAGTGTCTGCCTTTGGCTCGGGTCATGATCCGGGGACCCTGGGATTGAGCGCACGGCGGGCTCCCTGCTCAGCGGGGAGCCGGCTTCTCCCTCTGCCGCTCGCCTCTGCTCGTGCTCGCTCTCTCTCAAATAAATAAAATGTTAAAAAAGAAAAGGAAAACATGCCAGAGGCTGGAGCCCAGACTGTAACGGAGAAATCGGGTGCTGCGAGGCAGGTCCAGCAGCGGGGAGACTGTGTCCCTCGACCCAGAATTGAGATTGCAGACTGAGGAAAACAGAGCAGGGCAGGACGTCCAAGCCTGTCCTTCAAACCTGTTTCCGGGGATTGGCATTCTCGTTCCTCATTAGGAAGGAAACAGCAACAGGACAGCGTGTAGACATCCCCATGTCAGTCCTCCAAAGCCCAAAGGCAGGGGACAGCTCCCAGTCAGAGGGAGACGGCGCTTGTGGCAGGCAAAGGGCGCAGGCAGCGCTCGGCCAGGCCTGGCCCTGGGAAGTTCCGCAAGGACCCCTCCAGGGCCATTGTGTGTGGTTGGCTTGAGCAGTTCCCCACAACAGATATTTGCAGGGAGGGGGTCCTCCTGGCTGGAGCCCTGCTCTCAGCCTGCCCAGACTCTTGGGGCAGCGATTGGGAAACATGCTTTTCAAGGTCACAGTTTGGGGTGTGACTCAAGGCAGGAATGCACACGCCTCCCTCCCTCCCTCCCTCCCTCCCTCCCTCCCAAGATTCTGCACCCAGAGGGCCAGAGGCAGGACTGAGGGGCTGACTGCTGGGCTTCAGGGCCAGTTGGCTGAAGACAGAAACCTGTCTCCTGATGGACCACAGTGAGGTTATTTGAAAGCAAATAAGTTGGTGACCTGAGAGTGCCCAGCGGGTGTTCCGACAGAATGAGAGGGACAGGAAGCATCCAGCAAACAGAAGGAGCAGCTCCCCCAGGGGATGATTCCAGAAGCAGGGTGCATGCCCACCAGGGAGGGACAAGGCTGGCTCCCCAGGGATCCACCAGCTGCAGGGTCAGAGGAAGCAGCTGGGGGGTCGGTGGGGTGTTTGAAGGAACCCCGTGAGAGCGTTGTGAGGGGCCTGCTTGGGCCGGGTCGCCACTGAGATGGGGGACTGGTTGACATGGGCCAGGGTTCCTGGCTCTGTGGGGGCAGAACGAGCACTGAGCCCCAGCACCCTTGGAACCTGTGCCCCTTCGTTTTCTCATCTGTAGAACGGGATCGCCCACCCCCTCCTGGACTCACTGCTTGTCGGAATGGAATCCATCTAACCCTGCAGCCCAGAAGACACTCCCCGGCTCCCAGCAGAGGTCATGTTGGTCAGAACCAGAAATAGTTTTCCCACAGACTGTCCCACCGTGGCCAGGTGCTGGGCCCAGTTAAGCCCAGTGTGACCCAAAGGGAGTTGCCAGACTGAGAACCTCCTGCTTTGCGTACGTTGTACTTCCCAGAAAACCTGCCCCTTGAAAACAAGGGGAGGGGAGACCCTGGGGAAGTCTAGCCACAGCCCCCATTAGGGCTTGCGCCCCCACCCTCTCGCCCGGGGTTCTCCCTCTCTCCTGCCCCCAGGGCTGCCCTCGCCCCTTCTCCCAGGGCACCTGGGTGGGATTCTCAGGCAGGCTGCCTTCTGGGGCAGGAGGCCACAGGGCAGAGGACAGGGCTACAGGCAGGAGCGCCTTCCCTCTGCCCAGGCTGGGGCTGCTCCCGGACGACACTCACGGCCCCTCGCACTGGTGGGCCTCTAGCTTCTCCCCTCCCAAGGCCCCCAGACCCCCACGCAATGGCCAGGCTGTCCTTGCTCAGCTCCTGTCCTCCAAGGCAGGCCCTCATGCCCCCACATTGCTGGGGACAGGGGCATCTGTGACAGCAGGCTCACCAAGGGCCTCAGGGTGGCCACAGTTCGATGGAGTTTCACCCTTTATTTTGTGGAGGTCATTGTGGGAAGGACTTATTTAGGGGTGAGCTTCCACATGAACCAAGAATTGTCCAGCCCTGGGAGGTACCCAGGATGCTCTAAATAGAGGTGCCAAGGAGGTCGGTCTGCCTGTCTGTTCTACAGAGCTCGTGGGGTCATGGGTCATGAGGTCAGAAGGCAGGGAGGGCCAGCGCTGCAGCCCAGACTTCTGGGCTGCGGGTGTAAGTTCCGAGCCCTAAATTGGAGGAGCGGAGATGCACAGGGCACACAGGGTCAGGGTCAAGCCCCCCGTCCTGCCCACGAACTGATGGCCAACAGTGCATTCACATTCCAGCCTCCCCTTTAGTGAATAACCAGAATTAAAATTCTCTGATACTGATGAGGCGACTCGCCATCGCCTCCTCTTGGACAGTGGTGGTGACCTCCCCGCTGAAGAACGGAGGCGGTGATGCGCCGCACCAGGCCTGCCACCAGGAGGCGCACTGGACAAGCGCCTCTGCGCGCTCAGGGCGCGGCTTGCGGGGACAGCGCTGACTGCAGGAGACGCGCCTCTGCGCGCTCAGGGCGCGGCTGGCAAGGTCCGGGGCTGGCTGCAGGAGACGCATCTTCCCCCGCGAGGTCCGTGGAGGCAGCGGGAGGGGACCAGACGCCAGCCGCCCCAGCCGGAACAGCTTTTCAGGTCGGCGCTTGGGCAAGGTGATCTCTGAGGGCAGCAGCCGGTGACCGGCGTCCCCCAGGGTCCTTCGCACATACACCGTCGGCTACAAAATGGGTCTGAGAATAGAACCTACCCTGTAGGTTGTTGTGGAATTAATGACTTAAAATTTGCAAGACTGCTCAGGACGGTTTCCTGCGCTTGGCGCACAGCTTTCTGCGGTTGCCGCTGCTGTCCGGGCGCTCTCACATTGCATTTATCTGTGCGGTGCCCTGGGCCTGGGGGTGCAGCCCACGGAGGTCTCTTCTCAAAGCGATGAAGTTCGTTTCTATGGAACTACGGGTTCACTGGATGCCCACTATCCGCCTCCCCCACTGGAATGGAAGCTCCAAGAGGTGGAGGGTTTGTCATGCGGTAGGTGTTCAACAAATACTCACGGAAGACATTGGGGAAAACGCTGTGACATAATGAAAACTTGTAAACAAAGAAACTGCAATGTGATGCCAATCTTGTAAAAAGCTGTATTTATCCATACGTAGCTCTCTAGAGAACTATATGAACATTCTAGCACAGGGAATATTAAAGAGAGGGGAAATTAAATGGCTTTTGTTAGCTCCCATATTACCCACAGGAAGATGCATATAGGATTTGGGGTGGGTGGAATTACATTACTGGAAAGAATAGGCTGGAGGCATTGCTGTGGGGTGTTTGGGGTCCCGGGAAGAGCCGCACGTAGCCCGTCTGTGGGCTTGATGCTTCCGGTCCTGTCCCTGCCCCAGGAGGGCTCTGTGGGCCTCTCTCACTTACTGGTGTCTGAGTAGGTGGGGGAGCCCCAGCAGGGCCAAGGAAGAAACCAGGTCATGCCTGCGACCACAGACAAGTGGGACCACCACCTGGGACCATTGGCCAAGCCTGTTTGTGACAGAAAATGCTACCAGTGAGCCTGCATCAGGGTCCCTGGCAGACTAAGGTGAGGCACCCTGAGGACCAGGGGGCCTCTGAGCAGGGGGCGGCAAGAAGAGGGTTCGAAGGCACCGCGGCCGGCTTGGCAGCCAAGGACTCGGGCTGAACACTCGGGCTTCCCGCTTGATTTCCGGCGTGCTGTTTCTCCAGCAGCGAATGAACGGGCCCTCCTGCTGCATGTGAACCAACCTCCTCCAGGCCGTGTGCTCTTCCAAGCCTGCCTCACCCCTCATCCCCCTCAGGGCTGGTACATTTCTCTGGCAGGAAAGAGGGTCCTACCCACGGGCAGTGCCTGCTCCATGGAGGCCTCAGCGGGGGCCGAGGTACAGCTAGGCAGGGACTGGCAAGCCTTGACACGCCCAATGGAGGCTTGGCGCTTTCCTTGTGTGTCCCCTCCCTCAAGAGCCTCTGGCTTCCAGGGCCACCCCGGCCCGCAGCTCAGGGACTTGGCGTGTGAGCAGGAGGCTGGAACCAAAGCCACCACACCTGCAAGCCAAGCTCCTCCGGTTACCCCCCAGGCCCGCCCTGGACCAGCTCCCCTGTAGACACCCCCAGACAATATGGAGCAGAACCTTAAGGTTCAGAGGCCCAGTGAAAAGTTCGACATGCATCTGATTTGGGAGAGTTTATACCCTAAACTGGTGAAAAGCCTCAAGCAAGCTAGCCATGCTGCACACACCTGGGGCCTCCCTGTTTTCCAGGCCCCGAGAGGCCAGCAGCCACACGCCATGACAAGGGATGGACAACAGACAGAGAGGAATGGAAGGCAAAGGGCCACCCAGGCCCAGTCACCCTCCTGGCCTGTGTTTGAGCGTGGGCACAGAGGGACCAGCAAAGCCACTCTGGCCAGTGCTGCTCTGTGGAGAGGGCCCCGGGACCCAGGCGTGGAGGTCGGCTCCACTCGTCCTGGCCAAGGGGCAGACCAGCTGTCTCTCCAGAAGCTTCCTGGGTGCCTTGGTAGCAGGTGGCAGCAGTTAGGGGTTGGGCAGGGGCAGGGGCTGCCTGTCTGGGGGCTGGGACAGGGCACAAGCAGCGGCCCCAGCCTCCGCGTATAGCACCTCTGAGCACCTGGCATATTATGAGCACTCAGCAGAGGGGCCTTTTCTGTGATCTGGTCATATGACGGCAGCGTGGCCGCATGCTTGTCCAGGGACGCCAGTTTCCATGGTTGGATCTCAGCCCACAGTTTCCAGCTGCCTCTGAGCCTCCCTGTTCTCAGATGGACAGTGTTGCAGAGGGAAGGCGGGGGTTGGAGGGTTTCACCTGTCTGACTCTTCTGGCTTCTGGGCCCAGATATTCCTCACCCTGAGATGCTGCTTGTCACCAGCCCGTGGCCTCCTGCACGCTTGTGTGTGCCGTATGTGCGCGCGTGCGTGTGTGTGGGCAAGTGTGCGTGTTGTGTAGATGTGTGCGTCCACGCACTATGTGCGCCGTGTGTGCATGTGTGTGCATGAGAGTGAACGGGTGTGTGTGCTGCGTTCTGTCTTCGGTTGGAACACGGGTTGGCCTGTGGCGGTTTGCTGAGACCCGGCTGTCTGAACAGAAACACTCCGAACCCCTCGTCAAGGCTGCCTTTGTGTGGCTCTCTGCCCCTGCACCTCACCCCGCAAGCACCATCTCCCAAGCCTCGATCACAAGGCAGGACCCTTGTGAGCCCCCTGGGACTGTGACCTCCTACACGCAGCCACAAGGACGGCGCACTCCTGGCAAAGCTCACCTCCCAGGGCCTCAGGGATCATGCCCAGCCTCCCTAAGGGCTCCTCTCACTGGGGCTGGGGACCCCCCAGGTGCATTTGGGGCCAAGTTTGTGGGCCATCGCTGAGAGTAGAGCCCTCTCCAGGGCCCCATGGGATCTGACTTTGTTTCTGGGTGTTCATAGGATCTGAAGGGTAGGGATGGGTGATCACGGCCGCCATCATGCTCACGTGACCTGGGAGGCTCAGCCTTCCGTCACTGAGCTCACCTCCCTTCTCCCAGTTACATTTCAGGGAATGAGATGCATGGAAGGAAGAGATAGGCATCCTCAACAGAGACCAGAGAGGGAGAACATCTTCCGTTTACACTTTATTGTGTCTTTTTAAAAGATGGCATCGTCCCTTAGCAAACGGATCAGTGGTTCACACCTGGGCGGTCATCAGTGCCCTGAAATGGTTTGAGTGGTGTTTCTCAGGGCTGCTTGTCTGCAACCTCCACCCCCGTCCCTCCCTCCCAGGTCACTGCAGGACTGAGGAGGCTGGGAGGTCAGGAGAGCAGCTTCCTGTCGCCTCCAGATGCCCCCTTGGCTTCCAGCCCAGTCCCAGTGCAAACTACCTTCTCCAAGGCCGTTACACACTCTCCTTCACCTTCCTTCTGGTAGAATAAGGGATGCAGCACACCCAGCTGGTCTTGGTTCTAGAAGCCAAGAGGAGGGCAGAGCAGGTGAGAGACAGGCATCCCCCACACGGGCTCAGAGCCCAGGGCCACAGGCAGCACCCCTCCACCCCAGAGGCATGTCCCCTCATCAAGCCCAGGGGGCCCAGCGTTTGTCAGTCGGAGGGTGACAGGGCCCTGCACGCACAGTCAGACTCCTGAGCAGAGCTGGGCTTGCCTTCCCAGCAGCTGCCCGAGCTTCCTCCAACCCACCCAGTGCCTTTGTGCTCTGCGCTGGGAGGCCTAAGAAGGGGCCCCTTGAACATGAAAGACCTCCCAGACCAGCTGAACAAACTGCTCCCCTTGGCCCCAAAGCCAGGCTGTCTCCTGCTGTCCCCACATCCAGCCCTGCTCATTTCCAGAACACCACGGCCTGTGGTTTCCCTCATGGCTGGTCTCTGGGTTCTCCACTTCCAACCAAAGCTGCCTCTGGGACGAGTCAGCTGTCCCCCTTCCCTTTGCAGGGACCCCACAGCTCAATGTCAAAGCATCCCACTGGGCAGTAAGCGACAGCTAGCCTACGGGTGCCCAACCCACCATCTGAATAGGATGAGGGAGAGCCTGGACAGAGAAGCCTCAGCTCTGAGGAAAACGGAGATGGCAGCTGAGCAGGGACAGAGAGGTCACCCTGATACTGCCCAGCAGGCGTGAAGGCCAGGCCCACATGGAGGGCTCTCCACAGGCCCCCTTCCCACTGGCCAACCGGCCTCCAGCAGCCAAGGCTTGGACCTGTGTGCTGGCCCTGGCTTACAGGTTTTCTGGGGGCAGCAGAGTCATCGGGCAGGGGGGTTGAGACCGTGAGGCCAAGTGGGTGGACTTGGAATTGTCTGGCCCTTGGGGCAGAAAACAAAGCCACCAAGCTGCGTCCAGTGTGGCCGAATCCATGGCCACATCCGTTAAGAAACAATGAGAAAAATAAAGGTCTGCTTAAGAAAGACCCACCTACTTTCAGCCTAGATTTGGAAGTGTGACAGAGCAATGCCGGAGAGACCCCCTGTGTAAGTAGAGATGGGCAGGAACGTGGGGCTGTGTGAGCCGAGGCGGGGTGACACGTCCTCCCAGAAGCTCCCCCGCAGTACATACAAATCTGGGGGAAGGTAGTGGTTCTAATAACACCACCAAGTAAGCAGAGGGCCCAAAGCTGCAGGCACTCACAGTGGACGATGCGGAGATGGTGCCTGTGGAGACCCCCAGCCCCTCTCCCAAGGGCGCAGTGTGCGTAGTGTGCATCCCAGGTCCAGCCTCCGAGCCCACGGGCTCCTGCCCCATCCTCACTGTTGCTAAGAGGGGGCCTGGCTGACCTAGAGGCTTGCGTGTTTCAGTTATTTAAAAGGACCATGTGTTGGTTTTACAAAGTAATTTACTTTGTATCTAAATATCTGCTAGAGATATTTTTCTTTTAAAAAGTGCTTAAGCAAATAAGCCGAGATATTAATATAGTTAATTCTGAGAAGTGGAAAACTGGATAAATTGCTATTTTCTTCTTAGTGTTTCTCTATATTGCTTAAAATAAAAATAGATCCGTGGGCCCTTGGGTGACACAGTGACTTGCTCCCAGCGCCCTTTATGGCCTGAGGATGTCGTGGAACTTGGCTGGCCCTACCCAGTCTCCACCATAAAATGGTGTAGGTAGTCAGGACAAATGTGCTTCCCACCCCAGCCCTGGGGCCCGCTTTGCAGAGACGCTGGCCAGTGAGGAGTCCTCCCTCCCGGCGAAACCCCACACTGAGAAGCTGGAACCACCCATGTGGCAACACTTCCCTCTCTCCTCCTCTGCTTCCTCCCACCTCTCCTGCCTCATTCTCTGGCCAATCTGTCAGCTCACGGGATGGGGAGAAAGGGTCTGGCGGGGGGGGGGGTGAGTGGGACTCCGGCTAAGGGTCCTCCCTAAGTCCCACCGCTCCCCTCTCAGCCCCTTCAGACTCACAGTGCTTGGGTGTCTGCCCGCATGGGGAAGGGAGGAGGGCATGCAGTGGGGTTCTGCCCATTCAGCATGAGGCCCAGTGGGCCCATCAGACACCGCAGGAGAGGAGAACCCCCCACACGCATCACTCACTCGTCTTCTGACAAATCCCCCATGTCCATCTGGGACCGCTTCTCTTCTCTCATGGCACCTGTGACCACCTGTGGAAAGTGGCAGGAGCAGTTCAGGGAACAGGCAGAATCAACCCATCAACCACAGCCACCAAGGCCAGACCTGCTAGACCTGCCCAAGGACCAGATGGGGGCATGGAGACTGTGCTGGCACTGAGCCTCTTCCCAGAAGGTGGGGCACCCTCAAGTGAAAATTTCCAAAGAGGGGGAGGGGGCACCTGGCTTAGTCAGTTAAGTGTCTGACTCTTGATTTCAGCTCAGGTCAAGATCTCAGCATTGTGAGATCAAGCCCTGTGTTGGGCTCACATGCTGAGTGTAGAGCCTGCTTAAGATTCTCTCTCTCTCCCTCCCTCTGCCCCTCCCCTCCCCTGCTCTCTCTCATTCTGTGTGTGTCTCTCTCTAAAAGAAAGAAGGGAGGGAGGGAGGGAGGGAAGAAGGAAGGAAGGAAGGAAGGAAGGAAGGAAGGAAGGAAGGAAGGAAGGAAGGAAGGAAGGAAACTTCCATTTAGGGCACCCTGACCAAGAAATTGTGCCCTTGATGTGGGCCACTGTGACCTCCAGACTGTAATCTCAACTCTGCCACTGGATGACCCTCCTTGAGTCTTAAAACCTGTGGTACCCCTAAAATAGCCTTGTGCGGGGTTAGTAGCCAGCATTCTTCACTGTACCACATGTTCTGAGTGCAAAGAGATAGGAGGTGCAATCTGGAAAAGAACAATCCCTAGGCAGGAGCTTAAATTTCCAAGATAGAACTTCAAAACACTTCCAGAGATGGCTGCCCACTACAGCTGAGAAATGGAGGCCATCCTAGGATATTTGTGTTGGATGGCCAGACAGGCCATTGGTCAACACCTTCATTTTACAGAAAATGATGATGCTGTGAGAATGATGATGATGATGATGATGGTGATGAGGTGATGGTGTTGTTGGTGGTGGTGATGGTGGTGATGGGTGATAATGGTGGTGGTGATGGTGGAGATGGTGACTGTGGTGGTGGTGGTGATGGTGATAATGGTGGTGATGGTGGTGATGGTGATGGTGGTGATGGTGGTGATGGTGGTGATGTTGATGGTGGTGGTGGTGGTGATGTTGATGATGGTGGTGATGTTGATGGTGGTGATGGTGGTGATGGTGGTGGTGATCATAGCTGATACTGAGGCTTTCTGGGTATAGGCACCATCTGAGTGCTTTATAGAACAACCCTGGAATGTGGGTACTACTAAGATCCCCATTGTATGGATGAAACAACAGAGCCACTGAGAGGTATGGTGACTTGAGTATTTACTGGCAGAACCAGATGTGGAGACCAGGTCTCCAACTCCCAAGCCTATGCCCTTTGTACCACCCCAGTGTGATCCCAGAAGAGGTTCTCAGGGCCCATGGGCACCCTGAGGGTTGACCCTGGTCCTGGAGTCTCTGATGATGCCAGAATACATGCAGGTTGGAGGATAAGAAGGAGGCAAGTGTGGCTTTCAGATTCCCAGGCCAGTCCTCAGCACCCCAGAGTCCTCCCGGCCCTGCTGGCCCGCCTCTGCCTCAGCCTGCAATACATTCTTGTGGGACAGGTTCATTGGACAAGCCTCGTGGGCCCTGAGCCCCAGCATTCCTGGCAGGTGGTCTGGCTCTGTCATCTGAGGGCTTTTACCTCCTCGGCATGGTCTCCCAGATCAATCTCCACAAACACAGATGGTTTCTGTGAATGGAAACCAAAGAGGTATGGATGGCAGACTAGGGTGAACTGGAGAGGAAAGGAGGCTTCCTGGGAGAGGCACTGGGCTCCAGGCCCTGGGGCAGCCGGGTCTGCATGACCACCACTGGGGCCGCAAGATAGTGGCTGTGCTCAGTGGGGGCTCCTGAGGAGCTGGGCAGAGAGGTGCTGGCCGTGTGAATGGCAAGGTGTCCATGACCAGTGCTGGCAGAGAGAAGGGAAGGACTATGGCCTCCCATCTCTCCCTACTCACCCCCTCAGGTCCCTGAGATCCCGGGGTCTCCCCTGGATTCCCCCCTTGAGAACCAGGGCTGTGGGTCACAAGGCAATGCCCGGAGCTGGCCCATACCTGCACACTGCCCACCAGCCTCCTGGTACCCACTCTGCCCCGTGCTGGTGAGGACTCCCACTGAGGCATGAAAGCCTCAGGCAGCTCCAGGGGCTGCTGCCCACCTGGGCTAGCCCAGAACGCCAGATGTAGGTCCTGTCGTAGGTCCTGATAAAACGGGTCCAGCTTCTTCTCCATTCCCTCCCACGATTGGGAAGGAAATGAGAGCCTCCTTCCCTCAGAAAGTGCCCGGTGGGAATTCCTACCACCGCTCTGCTGGGTCTCTGGCCAGTGCACCAGGACATGGGGCAGGGGGCATTTCTCTGAGCCACCCGTCAGGTCCCATATGACTTTGGCAACTGTGCTGTTTGGAAAGCTGGGGTTAAGATGCCCAGCATCAGCCAGGAGCACAAGGCTGGGCCCAAAGTCTCTTGGGTCGAGGCCACACTGGGTCCAGCCTACAGCATGGCCCTGCCAAGAGGACCCCAGGACCATGTGTCCACAGCCTGCTGGTGGTCCCACAGGACTGTGCCTGGCAGGCCTTCCTGTTGAGAAAGTCAAAGGCTCTTGCCTCTTTTCCTGGAGGGTCATCCAGCTTGATGGACTCTGGCCCCTGTTCCTAGGGAAGACACCCAACAGGTAGATACCAGCAGGACCCGAGGATGGTGGACATGTGTCTGGCCAGCCCTCCCGCTCTTGCCACTGGCCTCTGGGTGGCTCCTCTTCACCTCTGGTTCTGCCCTTCCACCGTCTGGGTCCAACTTTCCAAGGGCGTCCTGACTCTCCTGCTTGTCTTCCTCCGGGTCTGCCTGACTGTGGGAGTGGGGCGATGGATCAGGATGGGCGCCATGGACATGTGGCTTCGGGCTGGCCCTTTCTCCCCTTGGGTGTTGGGAAAGTTCTGGGACGTGCCCCCGCGGAGCAGGGTGGGACAGGGTGTGGAGGCCCTTCCTCCTGCCTGGGCGTGGGAGGGTGAGTGGAGGACGAGGCAGAGGTGCCCAGCGCTAGGCATCGAGGACTAGGCAGTGCTCCTCCAGGAAGGTTCTATGGCTATGTGGTGGTGCTGGGGGCCTGTCCACCAACGGTGTTGCACATGGACACCTTCCCCAACAAATGAGACCTCTGGCATGCCCAGCGATCTGAAGAGTCGAGTGCAAACGTCTGCCAAGACAGGCGCCCACTCCAAGAGTCTGGGCCACGGCCAGCTGCAGGGGAAGCAGGAGGTGGGGCGGGGGCTCGCAGCCCTGAGATACCCTCCCATCTGAGGGTCTTCTCAGGACACCCTTTCTTCTCAGGGTTCCTTCAGGGTCCGAGTGCTCCCCAACCCACTGTCTCCTGTGTCACCTCGTGTCTCTGAAAACCACCTCTCCCGGACAACGACCACCTACCAGCTGGCTTCTTCGATGTCGCCTTGTAGGTCCTTTCCCTGGTCCTCGGACTCTGGGGAGGAAGAAGCAGCACTTGCCATCAGCTCTCCCTGGGCCCGTGGCCTGGCCCTGTGAGGACAGAGAGCACTACGGCCCAGCCCTTCGGGGAGTGAGGGGCCCAGAGCCTGGCCCTCCAAGGATGGACAGGCCTTCCTGGGGGGGCTGAGTCTGAGAGGACAGCCCAGGTCCCATTTCTGTGTGGCCGCATCTGAGCCCAGAATGGTAGAGGTGGCTGGTTCCCTGTAGCTGCCCCCCCGCCTCCAGCAGCTCGGTCCCCCGTCCTCCAGCCCGGCACACCCGGGCCCAGGATGCAGACACAGTACAGCCAGGTGGGAAATGCCAAAGCCTTCAATCATGCTTTTGACGGGAGGCCTGGTGAGGCACCTCCAAGCACCCCGTTACCGCAGAGGATTTCCTTACAGAATCCCAACGGCTCACAGGTCTCAGAGCTGGGGGCACCTGCAGGCTGGGGAGGTGATGGCTGGGCTCCGGGAGGCGGCCTACACACAGCTCCCGCTTCTCGGCAGAGACCAACAGCGTGGCTGGCCCTTGAGCTCTCCATCCTGCCCTGGGCCTGGTGTCGGGGAGCCCCTGCCCCATGTCAGGTGACCTGCCTTGGCGGGACAGTCATCTCAGCCAGGCCTCCCGGGTGCTCAGGGCACGTGGCCTTGGCTGTGTTGTCCGGACACTTCTCTCTGTGAGTCGCCTGCGGGTGAGAACTAGGGGTCCTCCGTCCTTCTCTTGTTGGCCGCACCCACACAGGCTCAGGGACGCCGAGGCCGGTGTTGGCCACCCCAGAGACAAAGCCCTGAAGGCAATGGGCAGGGATCTGAGGGAGCAGGGCTCGGGGTCGGGGGTGCAGCCCTTGGTCCTCAGAGCGTGTTTCAGAACTCGATGGCTCTCGAGACATCCCTCATGGAGAAGCTGCCCAGTCTCCACCTCAGAGAACAGGACCTGAGTGATTCAGAAGCAGCAGTTTCCTAGCAGGGATTTTAGAATTGATTTCTTTTGGAAAATCTTCAGCAAGCCCCCACCTGTAGGCACGCGTGTGCATGTACATGCCTGTTCTAGAAGACCTGGGGCCGATCCCTGAACCTGCTTTTTCCTATAATGTGTATCGGGCAAGAAGGAAGAATCAGTAAAAAGAGAGACGTGATTTCTTTTCTCCAAAGTAGACCCCCCAGTACATCTTCTGTCATAAAGAAAGGAAATTAATACTAAGTGTCTGCAGGTCTCGCCCCTTCCCTTTTTCTAAGAAAGTGCCTGAGTGTATCAGGGCTCCGAGCATATCGGAGCAGTGAGTGACCCCTTAATCTGGAGGGCTCAGCCGACGAACGTGCAGCAGGCAGAGGGCTGGGGGCTGACGTGGGCCGCTCGGGAGCTGAATGAGGTCTGAGGACAGAGCAGTGGGGTCTCCAGAAGGTTCCCTCTGCTGCCTCTCTTCCTCAGCCGAGATGTGGCTATCTTCAAACTGCTTACAGATTACATTTTGGCTGTGAGACCGCCCCCTGGGGTCCAGCGGGTGGTGGCGGGCCTGCAGGCGCAGGCTGGGGGTCGGGCCGTGGCCACACCCTCTGGACAGCTAGTCAAGTATCCGAAATCATGTCAACGGCGGTGCGGAGCTGGCTGGGGAGGGGGAGTGACAGTGACCAAGACCCTCTTCGTAACAGGCCTTAATTCTGTGATGGGGGTGCTTCGGGGGCCTGATGACACTGCCTTGCACCTTGGCGACACGGCTGAAGGCTTCAGCAGGTCCCACCCACCCCGGAGGAAGCCCCCCACCTCCTCTCTGGACACACACCCCCTTGAGCATGCGCGAGCGGTGGACGGAGAGCTGAGTGCGGGCGAGGGTGCCCTCACGCAGCGCCGGAGTCCCGGGCCTGCACGGTGGACACAGTGGCGTGAGCCCGGGCAGGTCCCGCGGGGCGCTCCTGTGTGGGCGGCCAGGGTGGGGAGGTGGGCTCGGTGCGTGGCCACCCAGGGTTCCAGCACACAGCCACTGGGTTCCTGCTGTTCCCTCCGACACCGGGCTCGTCCTGAGGCCCCACTGGAGAGCAAAGCTGCAGATGCGCTCTGGCCGCCCCTTGTCCCGCCCGTGGGGCTCACAGCCGGGCTCCCGTGTCCTCCTCGCCCCTGCTCCCGGCCGGTGTGCACCCGGCAGGGCCCCCTCCTCTGGTCCTATTTTACCATGCAGACAGTGGGACCGGGAGCAGCCTGCCCCAAGCACGGCTGGTGAGCCTGCTGCTTTCCACCCTGCGGTCTCCGGGACGGGGAGCCCCTCTGCTGTGTCCCGTGGAGCCGCCGGGTCATGTGAGGTAGACAGGGTGCCACGGGGATGCCTCTCTGCCATTCACCCTGTTTGGGGAGATCCAGCGGTGCTGGTGGGAGTATCTGGAAATGGTGGGGCGAGACTATCCTCTCCTGTGGCCAGCCCCGTGGCGGCCTCATCAGACAGCCCCTGTGTCAATTTGCAATGTTGCCTGCACAGACTTAGGTTGATTTCTTCTTTGGGAAGCTTCACTCCTCTTCAGTGAGCCTGCGAAAGCGTCGCCCTGCTCAGAGGGTTCACGGGACGGAGGTGGAGGGAGAGCCTCGCAGCGGCCCCAGCCGCCAGCCAGCGGTGAGCACCTGCTCCTCCTCCCCCTCCTGAGATGTTTACACTGAGAGAGCAGATATTCGCCCCTCGGGCTGGAACAGCAAATCCCATTTCCTGCTTACTGTGTTTCAGTTCCACGGCATCCCAACACCCTCGTAAAGGGCCACTCGCTGGGTGGCCTTCCCAGCAGAGCCAGAACCTCAGAGGGCCCAGCAAATGACTGAACCAGTCACCTTCATCTCTCAGCCAACTCAGGGTCTGGCCCTCCAGGGAGAGGAGTTGGGGATGCCAGAGGGCGAACCTCACGGTTCACACAAGGACTAGGTGTTCTGCCCGGCCCCCACAGCAGAGCGTTTAGGGAGAGCTTAGGTGGCAGGCACCGCCATGTGTAAGTTAGTGGGCCCGTATCCCTTGTCCGTTACCCCCATGGGCTCACTGCTGGCCCTGCCTGGCAGGTTCCCTGAGCAGGACCGACCAGAGATGTTCCACGTGGCCACGGCCTTCTGGATGCACAGCCCACCTCACCCACTCCCGACCTCAGCACAGCTTCCCATGGCCGCCTCAGTGGGTCCCAGCCCCGGTTCGGCCACCGGCAGACCCCGGCTCTAGCATGCTCTGCCCGGCCCTTAGGATTCTCAGCAGGGGCAAGGGGGCCGGGCTGGCGGGAGGGACACCGCTGCGGGCCTACCCGGCTCCTTGGACAGCTTCTTGAGGCAGCTCGGAGGGTCCCCCTTCTGATGCAGGCCGCCCACACTCCTGCTCCTCTGGATCTCAGCCACCTCGCCGGCTGCCTTGGGGTGTCCGGGGGCAACCCCTGAGGGAGGGGCCCCGGGGCCCAGCCGGTGCCTCCGGTGTGCGGCCGTGTCCTTCTCCATCTTCCTCCCCCTCCGCCAGGTTTTGGGAAAGAAGAGGGACGTGGGCTCCCAAGCGCACCCTCAGGTGGAGCGCATGGCTTCCAACCTCTGTCCGACGAGCAGCCCAGTGTGACCAGGGGGCCCCCGTTGCCAAGTGGCCCCTGTGACATCACTGTGCAGTCAGAGGTCAGAAGTCAGCCTGGCGCAGCCCTTCCCGCGGCTGCCTTCCCCCCGAGGCCTTCATCAGCCCTCGCCCAGACAGTGTGGATGCCGCGCACTTCTGCTGTGGGGTCGGCCTTGCCTTTTGGACGATTCCCTCATTTTGAGAATCTTTCTTTTCCTCTTAGGGACAACGTCACCACGGACCAAACTCGGGCATGCGGACCCAGGGCTCGGGCGTTCGTCCGGGCGGGCCCAAGTGGCATCGGGGGTGGACAGGCAGCTGTGAGCTGCTAGCTGGCGAGCGCGGCCGACACGAGGCACCACCACGGAGACTCGGACGCTGGCTTCCCGCAGCCGGCGGGCGGCCGGGCCGACACAGACGCGGGTGCCGCCAGGGCCGGTCTCTCCGGGCGCCGCTCCGCCAGCGCGGGCCTCCTCCCACGGCCGTCCCTCTGCATGTCCCTGTCCTGATCTTGTTTGTTCGGTTCTTCTTCTGAGTCTAGCGACATTAGTTTCAGGGGCAACATAGCGTCTCAACTCCTCTCTACGGGGTGCTGGGCTCACCTCAAGTGCAGCCGTCTGTCACCTGGCCGCGCCCTCCCTGACAGCACCGTCCCACCCTGAGACCGAGTCACTCCACACCCGGAGCCCTGGACCGCCCTGCCCTCCGCCCGCCCCGCTGATTCTCATCTAGGGCTCTGATTCTGCTTTCTGTTTATTCGTTTGTCGTTTATAGTCCACTTATCGGTGGAATCATACGGTCATTTGCCTTTATCAGTCTGATTTAGTTCACTTGGCAGGATACCCTCTAGGTCCGGCCCTGTTCTCACAAGTGACACGATCTCATCTTTCTGATGGCGCAGCAACACCCCACTGTGTACACACACCACATCTTCTTTATCCCTTCACCTGTCGATGGACGCTCGGGCTGCTTCCGCATCCTGGCTGTTGTACGTGCTGCTCCTATAAACATAGGGGGGCACGTAGCCCTTTGACGTAGTGTTTTTGTATCTTTTGGGGTAAACACCCGGTAGTGCAATTGCGGGGTCGTAGGGTAGGGTAGCTCCATTTTTAACCTTGTGATGAAACTCCATACTGTTTTCCAGAGTTTGCATCCCACCAACAGCGCGAGATTTGGGTTCCCCTTTCCCCGCTTCCTCACCAACACCTGTTGTTTCTTGTGTTACTGATTTTAGCCGTTCCGACAGGTGCGAGGTGATACCTCACTATGGTTTTGACTTGTATTTTCCTGATAACGAGTGATGTTGAGCATCTTTTCATGTGTCTGTTGGCTGTGTCCTAACCTTAGAAGGACACCAGGCATATGGCATTAGGGCCCACCCTAATGACTTTATGTAACCTTAATTACCTCTTTAAAGATCCTGTCTCCAAATACAGCCACAGTCTGAGGTGCTGGGGTCAGGACTTTGCCATGAGTATTTGGGGGACACAATTCAGCCCATAATACAACAACAGAAATATCTGGTAGCATCCCAGCATATGTTTTTAATCTCCAAACATCCAAGGCCACGGGGGACAGATCATAGTAGGGGTGTTCCCTGAGCAACTGGCAGATCATAACTACTCAGCACGAAGCAGAAGAGACTCCCTAATTCCGCAGGCACGTCTATCTCCCCAAAACACTTCGCAGCATCTCCGCGCACCGGGAAGGCTCTGGTCACCCGGCCAAGGGGCTGGTGCAGCTCCTGACGTGCTGCCCCGGTACCCGCGTGCACAGACGCTAGTCTGGGAGAGGCCACGGGACTAAGGCCAGGATGGCGGGACCCTTAGGCTGTCTGGAGGAAGAGCAGGTGGACACAGATTGAGGCCCCCAAGAGCCACTGTGACCCGTCAGAGGGGTCCTGGGAGAGGGGCGTCTGGTTCCACGTTCCTCGAGGTTTTCTCCTTTCTGTCCTCCCACAGGGGCGGAACTTCCCTGGGTCCCACAAGTGTCTGAATCAGCCAGACTCCTTGGAGCCGCCCGGAGCCCTGCTGTGGCCACTCACGTCCTGGCTGACTGACGCTGTGGCCTCTGACCTGGGGCCCTCGTGGGCAGGTACTCCCCCTCTGTACCCCTCAGCCCCCACCCAGCCCTGGTGCCATCCCGCTGCCAGGAGGGGCCGGACGGAAGCAGCAAGGGCACTTTTCTCCCCGAGTCCATGCCCCCAGGGAGGGGCTGACCCTCCCCCACCCAGAGTCCAACCTGGTGTCCCCAGAGCCAGACCACCTGTTTCTTTCCTAACAGCTGAATCAGGCTGGAATTAAAACAGCAACGGAGTGAAAACCACAGGGAAAAAAGGAATAGGGAAACTGTGTCCTTGCTCTGGAGGCAGGTCTCCCCCAGGCCACCCACCATGCATGCAGCCCCTTCCCCCCACCCGTCCAGGTGGGACAGGGCCTTCAGCACTTCTGCCTCCCCACAGCCTCTCCTGCTGCTCCCCCTGTGTCTGGTCCTGAAGCTCAAGGCCCACTGTGTCTCGGAGAGAGTAGCACGTGCTGGGGGCCCATCTTCCCCTCCCTGGGCTGATGCCTGTCTCCATCCTCACTGGAGGTTCCCAGCAGAACACACTCAGACGCACTCAGAGCGCCCGACCCCACATCTTCCCATTCCACAGAGCACCATGGTTTCCAGCTTGCTCCCAAGTCCCACAGCTGAACCTCCCCTGCCACACAAGCATGTTATCCAGCCTCCCACAGGCCCCGCTCCGCCACGCACCCAGCTCCCACATGCACCATTATCAAACCAGTCCTCAGAAAGAATAAAACATCTGTTTTAATTGGCCAGTAAAATACATTGCAAATCATTAGTATCTTATAAACAGAAACATTAAGTTACAAATCCATGTTAAAAATTGCAGTTTGGCGCAGCCTAATAGTTATGTGTCCCAAAGTTTACTTTTTGCAACATTTTCCTCCACCGTCTTTGTCACAAGGGATGTTACTATCTGCCATGGTTCAGAGTTCAGAGTCTGAAGGACGGGATTTGCAAATAAAAAGCAGGATGGGCACAAGGTCTGCATGTTTGAACAGTGCTCTCCAAAGCTCGGAGGCTGACTGCCCCATGTCAGGACCCCCGTCCCAACAGAAAAGCACCCACCACTGCCTGGCAGCTTCTAGGGGCTTCACAGAGACCCAGCAAAGCCCTGCTCCCGGGGGCTGCAGGGTCTGCACAGCTCAGGGCTTTGCGTCCCTTGGTGAGCTCTGGAGGGCCTTCCACTGGCTTCCAAGAGAAGCAGCTCATTCCCTTCGTTGCTTTGCTGTGCACCCTCCCCTTTGACGAGTACAGGCCTAGATGTTCTGAGGTACTTTATATCAAGGAGCTCATTAGAAGCGGTCCTTTAAAAACGTTAAAAAAAACAGCTTGAAAATAATGCACATTTTAAAAACCTTCCTCAAACTTCCAGAAGGGGCAGCTAATGTGTATTCTACTTTTAAGTTCCACTGACAGCAAAACAGCAACAACTTTTGCTTGAAGGGGGACAGGCTGGACACGCAGCTCGGCCCGTCACCGGCTCTGGCAGCGTCTGCAGCCCACAGGACTGGGACACCCATGTCTACGAGCGCAGACTGGAACCTCCTCCCCCCAGGTACTCTCTGCAGAAGGACCCCGTACCTCCAAATCATCAAGAGCATCCTCACATTGGGATCTTCGTGCAGTGATGCACAAGGAAGCCACAAAACTGACCTTCAGCCAGGAACAATACCAACGCCAAGGGCTGGACCCAGAAGGCCCGTGGGCGCGGCCGCCGGCAGGCAGGCTCCCAGGAGACGAGGCGCTCAGCGTCCTGGTCTTGCTGAAGCAGAGTGTGTGAGAGGAGGGGGCTGCAGGGCCCCACGGCACAGGCACCAGAGCCCAGCAAAGGCGAAAGTGCACAGGACTCAGAAGCCCAAGCTCTGCAGAAAGCACGGCGTCCCTGGCCCCTCCTTCCAGAGAGGCCAGCTCAGGTCGCCGGCCACCAGTGTGAAGACAGTGCACCAGCAACCACAGACACGGCCCGGGGAGAGCCTCAGAAGTCCCGTGAGCCCGGCGCCGGTTACAGTGAGAGCTGCAGAAGTGTGGATCCCCTGCCCTACGGTCCCTTCTCTCTCTGTTCCCTCCTTCCCGAAGACCGCGGCTTCCCTGCTGCAGCTCAGGGCACCGTCCTGGGACAGGACATCCTGCTTCAAATGGAATGGGTGGAGGTCTCCGATTGCTGCCTGATGTAGCTCTGGAAGCTCTTGTCTCCAATGGGGTGCTCCCTGCAAAGGGGAAGTGGGGAGAAGAGAAAGTGAGGCAGAGCCCTGATCGCTGCTGCCCATCTGCCCGTTAATACTTTTTTTCTACCTTTAAATGTGATACATATTCCTCGTAACAAATGTGAAAAATACAGACAAGCAAAGAAAAAAAAGACTTAGCCAAAAGTCGCCTATGCAAGTGTACCTGTGGCCTAGAGAAAGGCAACTTCTGGCCCATCAAAGCCTAATTTTGGAAGCAATGGGTCTGGAGGTGGGAGGGTCTGGAGGCAGGAGGTTTGGGGTGTGCTGCCCCTGGGCCACTGTCCAGACGACTGAAGAGTAGAGGAGGGCTGCTCTGAGGGAGACGGGGAGGCTGCCCAGTCCTCACGGGCGCATGCAGCTGGCTTCAGGGTAACGCTCAGCCCCAGGAAGTCCCTTGCAGCCCCTTCCCCACTACCTTTGCCAAGGGCTCCCCTACAGTCCGATGCCATACTCACTGGCTCCCGTACTTGGTCTTCTTGAACTTGTCCCTTTTGTACTGGGCATGCTCCTGTTCGAGGGCCCCAACCCCAGCGACGACCTGCTTCAGTGTCTTGTAGGTCTCCTGGGGGTCATCAATGATGAACGTCGAGTACTCCTCCTGCTCGGGCCCATCGTACACGGATCTGCTCCCACAGGCTTCTGCAGCGTTGGAAGGGGCCGGAGGTCAGGGCGGGGACTCCATGGGCAGCCTCCTCGGGAAGGGCTGACCGTTCCCACGCAAATGCACCAAGAAGGAGAAGCCGTTCCCAAGAGCCGGGCCAACACTGAGCCCTGGAGAAGCCAGGGTCTGATGCCCCCTCTCTGACCAGCCTGTCTCCTGGGCGACCCTTGTCTGTCCACACCCCAGTGCTCACCAAACCAGAACCGGCAGATGTCTGTTCCTGGACACCGGGCCAGGGGGACTCAAGGGGCCTGTGGGGTCACCCAGGGTCGGTCTGGGGAGAACACCTCAAGGAAAGCCCCATCTTAGAAAGAGGTGCTAGGGCATCACTCATCCAGCATTAACGTGCACACCCCATGGCTGGGACGTGTGGGCACAAGGTGCAAAAGAAGCTGTCCTCACGGGTGGCACTTTCTCAGTCTGCACGCGCAGCTTCCTAGGACTTCTGTCACCCCCACCTGCTGGACACATGACTTTCTCATTGGACCACATCACTCCTGCTGAAGACCATGCTGGGGCCTCCAGGCATCCACGAGAAGCACCCAAACACCTGAGCTGGGCCTGGGATCCCCGACCTGTTCCCCAAACACCTGAGCTGGGCCTGGAACCCCCAACCTGTTCCCCAAACACCTGAGCTAGCTCCCCATCCCCTCGACCTGTTCCCCAAACACCTGAGCTGGGCCTGGGACCCCCGACCTGGGCCCTCCGTTCCAGGGCCACAGAGAGGCGGGAGGGAAGACATGTCATTTGGAGAGCGCCTGGCCGAGGTAAGCCAGCATCTCGGGGGCTCCTCACCCCATCTGTTTCATTATCACAGAGGCTCTCGTGTCCACCTCACTGTCTTTATTTCCACCCCAGGAGAAATATCCTAATTCTTACTGAAAATTCACAAGTCTGTACAAAGGAAAACTGGGAAGATTTAAGTTTAAAGAAAAAGAGAACCTGTCGTGAGAAAGATAAGCCACTCTAAACACAAGGGACGAATGAGCAGAGGGGGAAACGGAGGGAAGAGCTCGGTGGGCAGCGTGCTGATTTGAGTTCAGCCTTTCTCTTTTTACATAAAACGCAGGCTTCTGGTCTCCAGAGCTGAACTGCCTGGACTCCCGCCCCAAAGCCCCCACTTGCGGGAACTACTGGGCCTGAAGCAGGTTGCTTATGTCCGAGCCTCAGCGAACCCTCTGCGAAGTGGGGGCGCCCGTGTCCTTGGGAGGCTCCAGTCCGGGGCCTGGCAGTACCTGCAAGCTGTGCTGCTGTAAAAATAGCCAGCGTCGGCAGGTCAGGAGGGGTCACCCCTGAACAAGCACGAGTCTGTGGTTTTGCTAACGGTGACCAGAAACAGACTCTCGCTGCCCGTGTGGTGCTGGTGGGGAAGAGGCACACGCCTTCATAACACAAGGATCCGTGGCCTGAGAGGAGGGAGGTGGGCAGTGGAGGTGACTCGGATAAGCATAGGGCAGCTGGGGCCAGGCCCTGCTCAGCTCCAAGCCCATGCCAACTGCCTTATGGGGGGGCTGTGTGACTGGATCCTGGATTAACCCAGGTGGCTAACCCATTTCACGAAAGAGGATAGGGAAGTGGAGGTGCACTCTAAGATCTCCAATCATGTTGACACTATGAACACTTGTCCAGATGATGCCTACACTGGGAGGGAGGCTCATTCATCCATGCATTCTCCATCCATGTCTCCACCTATCATCCATCCATCCATCTACTCATCATTCATCCACCCACCCATCCATCCAACCATCCATCCATCCATCCATCCATCTACCAATACATCCACCCACCCATCCATCCATCTACCAATACATCCATCCAACCACCCATCCATCCAACCATCCATCCACCCATCCATCTACCAATACATCCATCCACCCATCCATCCATCTACCAATACATCCATCCAACCACCCATCCATCCAACCATCCATCCACCCATCCATCTACCAATACATCCATCCACCCATCCATCCATCTACCAATACATCCATCCAACCACCCATCCATCTACCAATACATCCATCCAACCACCCATCCATCCATCCATCCATCCATCCATCTCCATCCATCCATCCATCTACCAATACATCCACCCACCCATCCATCCATCTACCAATACATCCATCCAACCACCCAACCAATACATCCACCCACCCATCCATCCATCTACCAATACATCCATCCATCCATCCATCCATCCATCATCCATCTCTCCACCTATCATTCATCCATCCATCCATCAGCCACTCATTATCTATCCATCCATCATCCATACACCCATCACCATCCATCCTTGATTCACCCATCATCCATCCATTTCCCACCCATCCATCATCCATCCACCTATCATCTATCCAACATCCACCCAACATCTATTGATCCATCATCCACCCATCTGTCATTCACTGCCTGTCCATCCATTCATCCAGAAAACAGGTATTCAGTTCCCCTTCATGTCAGGCACTGGGGTAAATAAGATCTGCTTCCGCTCTCAAAGGGTCAAGTGTACTGAGGGTGAACAGATCAGAGATGATTATCATGGCAATGACAGAGAAATACACAGGGTTAGAAAAAGCTCCCCAGAGGAGGAGACTCACAAGACAGGTATTAGCCAGACGAAGGGGGCAGAGGGTGGCATCAGGGGCAGAGGCAGGGGGTCCTGCAATGGTGTGACACTGGGGTGACCCCAGGCTGGAAGCAAGAGGGACACAGTGTGTGGAGAGAGGTCACTGGAAGGTGGCTGATCATGCAAGGCTTAGTCAGCCTCCTTCATGAACCTGATCTCACATGGTGGCTCCAACCTCTAAGACTCCGTTACCCTCCTCCATTCTGGTCACTCTTCTCAGCGCGCTGGGAAGGGGCTGCCACCTCGAGGCCTGATGTAGCCCCAGGGCCACTGCTGCATGGCCTCCTGGAACTCTGGAGCCAAGTGCTGTGTGTGGCACCCTTGCTGGGGGAGGATCCACTGGGGTGGGTGTAGGTGTATGCATGTGCACAGTTGTGTGTGTTCAAGTTCAAGTACGTAAACACGGTTGTCTTGCAGGCATGTGCACCCATATGTGATTGTGCACATGCCTGGAGCCTGGGTGTGCATCCAGAGGAGTCATTCGAGGCTGCATGAGGGGACTGGAGGACAGGAGTGGCTAAGCTCACAGACGGCAAGCTCACCACCACGGCATGCTTGCCAGAGCAGGACTAAAGTAAGTTCCAGGCTGAGGCCCACCACTGACAGTACTGGCTTCGATCAGGAAAAAGAAAATATCTGATGGGTGTATTTCCAGGCCCACTCAGCTTTTTTTTTTTTTTTTTTTTTATTTATTTGAGAGAGAGAATGAGAGACAGAGAGCATGAGAGGTTAGAGGGTCAGAGGGAGAAGCACACCCCCCGCCGATCAGAGAGCCCGATGCGGGACTCGATCCCGGGACTCCAGGATCATGACCCGAGCCGAAGGCAGCCGCTCAACCAGCTGAGCCACCCAGGTGCCCCCCACTCAGCTTTATTTCACATTCAGAGGGGGGCTTAAGGGCTCTCATCTGCCTCTCTGTGGGCTCTTGTTACGATCGCCTCTTCTGAACTAAATGTTGAGGATAATCAAGCTATACCTAAATATTGTGTCTGCAGCTTCTGGGCATGTATGCACCTGCACGTACTCCCACGTGCACACCCACATGTCCCCCACACACATGCATGTGTCCCTCTGGAGAACACAGTCTGGGGGTATGGGAGGTTATTAAACATAAGATCTTCTCAAGAACTTGGCAGCTCAGAGGTTGCAACTAAATTCCATCTTAAAATTATCTGCAGAATCTGTTATTAGATCCTGGGATGCCTGCGTGGCTCAGTCAGTTAAGCGTCTGCCTTCGGCTCAGGTCATGATCCCGGGGTCCTGGGATCGAGCCACGTGTCGGGCTCCCTGCTCCGCGGGGAAACTGCTTCTCCCTCTCCCTCTATTGCTCCCCCTGCTTGTGCTCTCTCATTCTCTCTGTCAAAGAAATAAAATCTTAAAAAAAAACAAAGTAGATTCCCCACATCTGCCTAACCTGCAGAAAGCGCCCTTCAGTCCATGAATGAGAACACTGCATGCAGACCACAGGGACTCACTCCGAGGGCCGGTCATCCCGCAGAAAGCTCCAGGTGTCACTGGGACCCCAGCCACGTGTCTCCAAAGCCACCTGCCATCTCGTGAGACAACACGCCAGGCTGTGTGCTGAGCTTACCTTGCATTTTCTCCAGTTTGCTCATGTACGAGTTAAAGAGGGAGTAGATGCGCTCCGTCTCTCGGTCCCCATCGATGTCCAGCTGGATGTTTGCTGGGAGGCCGCTGCCCAAACACAGCAAGACCAGAACAGAAAGAACGATGATATCAGAGGTCATTAGGTAACGGATTGATCTTGTGAAGTGAACTTAGCCCTGACGGGGCTGTGGCGTTCCTCTGTGGTCTGTGGACTAGCTCAGGAGCACTGAGAAGTGCCCATCCACAGGCTCGGAGGATGGGAGGCCTAAAGATCTGCTGAGACAGCAAGCAAACAAGCCAGGCTTGTTTTGCCGTGACAAGAAATGATCTGGAATAGAAAGAGCCCCTCCTGACGCACGCAGGCCGTGGGCCCTGAAGGGTCGGTCTGCTGCCCCAGGTGGGGACGGCCCGGTCCCCGCTCCTCCCCCAGCCCGGGGTGGCTCCGGCTCCTGCCTGAGGGTGCGGCAGTGTCCCAGCCCCCAGACACAGTGCTCAGCCTCTCCTGGGCAGGACCTGGCAGGGATTTCCCCAAGTCTTGGCTTTTTCAGCTATGAAACCGGATCCTACCTCCATGAGCTTGGGGTATTCCTCCCACCCACACCCATACCAGACAGCAGTCATCACTGTTCTCACAGGTCACATGGGGCACCCTGAGGGCACCCAGGTCACCTTCCGGAAGGGGCAGAGGTGAGCCTCTCATGACCTCAGGAGGCCCAGCTAGCGGTGGGGCAGGAAGGTAACGGAGGGGTGTGCAGAGGATAGCTGCAGAAACCGAAGGGGCTGTGAGCAGGGTGGTGGAATGCGTCCAGGCTCTTCTAGAAGAAACACGACAGCACCCTGCCCCTGGGAGTCTTTCCTCGGCATGGAGCACCCTCCTTCACTGCCGCCCACCCTGAAGGACCACTAGGACCCCTGGCAGAGGCAGGAGGACCCTTGATGGCTCAGGGCTCCTGACAGTCTCAGAGCGCCTTCATGAGGATGAGCCCAGGGCCCTGTTGTATGGAGGCTCCTCAAGAATCGAGAGAACAGCCTAGGAGACCCAGCTGTGCATGTGCAGCCAAGCCCCAGTGCAGCCCCTTGGCCAAACTTCCCGGCATAGTGCACAAGCCAGACAACTGTGCTTGGCCACATGGGGTGGGTGTGAGACTGGGAAACTGAAGGGACCCCATGGAAAAAAAAAAAGCCTGTTGTTTTTTTTTTTCTTTGCTCCTTTTCCAGCTTCCCTTCTTGCTAGGCCTGCACCTCTGCCCCAGTCTACACATGCCTTGTAATGCATGTAGCATATGTCCTCCTTGTAAGGGACAAAAAGGTGACAATATCTTTGGAGTCTTCCAGCACAGTGGAAAACAGGAGTGACTAGGCGGGGTCGTCCTAGATGTTCTCTAAGACCACTTACTCCAAACACCTTGAGGCCAAGACCCCTGGCTTGAGGGAACGAGTAACTTATCAAGGACATCTGGACGCTGTCTTTGTGCCGACCAGTTCCTGGATGCCTAAGGGGACACGTACCCCAGACCACAGTTGCCATTAAAAACCCCAGGCCCTAAGCAAAGAGTAGACTCCTGCAGTTTTCCTGAGTCTCCCGGATGCTCTGTCCCGTATCTCTCTCTTTGTATATATATTCAATACTCTCTGCTTTTACTTCCTGCTAGCTCAGGTTTGATTTCCGTCCTCTGGGCTGGTCCTGTGGGACCCCCTCTCTGCCTGTATCAGCTGGGAGGGTCCTGGGGCTGGAGAGGCACAGACCTACCCGGTACAGGGGGAGCAGCCCGGGGCTGTGTCCGAGGAGGCCCTGCAGCACAGCCAGTGGCCGTTCAGGTAGGCAGATGGGTGGTAGACAGTGAGGCGTTTCTTGTTGCACTGGCTCACTTTGGTGAGGATGTCAATCCAGGCCTTGGCCTCCACACAGTTGTTGGCCTGGATATACAGCGCTCGCTCGGGCTGGATGACCTGGAACATCTGAGGGGGCCGGGAAGAGGATCAGAGAGGCCACAGAGCAGGATGTCCTGCCTGGGCCTCGAGAGTCTTCAGTACAGATGTGGGGGGAGGGACAGACGGGCCCAGGGGCTGTGGCACGCACAAAGGGCTTCTGTTGTCCTTGAACGTGACAGAGCCACAAGCCACAGCCTTCCCCCTGGGGGACTCAGGAGACTGAAGTGACCCAGCTGGGTGACCCCTGGTCAGCCTGGCCACGGCACTCTGTTTTCCTGGGGTCTTGGGGGGCTCCATTCAAAAAGCTAAGGCACAGCACTGTACATCTCCCTGCTGTGGTTCACTGTGGCCATTACATAAATGGCTTTTTAAGCAGGGGCGGCCTTCTGCGCAAGGTGCATCAGAGCTTATCCTGCCCACGTTCCTGTCCTCACCCCCACACCTACCTCAGGACCTTTGTATGTGCTGTGTGTCCATCTGGAAAAATGCACCCACCCCTCCTGACCAGGAGACTCTTCCTCCTCCTTCTAGGTCGGTGTTACTTCCTCTGAGGCTTCTCAGAGCCTCTACTGCCTTTCTTGTTGTTCAGCCACCATTCCTGAACCAGACACTGCCCTAGGTTCTGGGGACCCAGGGTGGCCCAGAGTTTCTATTGTCATGAACTTCCGGCCAGCAAGAAGGATAAAGATGAACAAAGTGTAAGGGTTGTGTACACCAGAGGAAGGGTCAGGCAAGAACCTTCTGAACAAATGACCCAGCTGAGGTCAGAAAGATGACTAAGAGATAATTAAGCTGAGTGGGAAAAGGGGAACAAGATGGAGAGTCCCAGGCAGAAGGACCAGTAGGCACAGGGTCCTGGGGAAGCGGGGAGGGGGGGCACGGGGGTCCTAAGGCAGCAGGGATGGGAGAAGCAGGGGTCCTGGGGCAGGGGGAGAGCAGGTGCAAAGGCCCTGAGCCCGGGGAGGGCCGGGTGCTCCCAGCAGGAGCAGGCCCAGCTGTACACAGAAGACAGGGGTGAGCGGGGAAGTGGGCAGGCCAGGGCCCTAGAGGGCTCTTAAGCTGGGCTTGTAAGAGAGCCCTAGAAAAGGCCAGGAATCAGAACGTCCAAGATGATGGTGGGCTCTTCGGGGGGCGGTGTGCACGGACAGGGGAAACAGGAGCTGATGGATCCGTGGAGGAGAAGCTGTATGTCCAAGTTCCTGAGTGAACAGCTGGGGCTGAGCCCCCAACCCTGGCCCACCTTGGGCACACATGCACCGTTGCACGGGCCTCAGACTGTGCAAACCTGTGTATGGCTGCGATCCCACTGTGTCCCCCCCAAACTGTGCCAATGAGCAAGAGACAGACACAGGAGACGGGAGACAGGTCAGAGCCCTTGTCAATTCCTGGGAAGCAGAACCTGACTTGGGGCCCTTCCTATGAATCCTGAACCCAGCATCTGTAGGAGAGCCTGCAGGGTGACACGGTGTGCAAGGGCCCTCCTCCCGGGCCAGCGCTTACTGTGGATGGCTCCTGGCATCTGAAGAAGGTTCTCAAGCAATGCAGAGCTGCTACAACATCTAATTTCCCTAAAGCCCGTGGTGTTGGGGGGGCAGGGGCGGCTGGCAACGCTCAGGAAGACACAAACAGTGAAGCAAACGACCAGGGACACGGGGAGGGGGGCTGGGCCTGGGGCTGCCGGAGATGGACCACGCATGCAGGCTGTCAGGACAGCAGGTCGGGTCTGAGTTCCTGCCCCCACATGAGTGGCGTGAGCTCCTGTAAGCTCCCTCCTCTGTGAGTCTGTCTGCTCCTCTGGAGACTGGGCCAGAGCTGTAACTCCCCCTCAGGATGTTTACGGGGAGAAGCCATCCCAGGACACCAGCCCCAGAGCTGGTGCCCAAACAGCTGTCCATGACCTCAGAGAACAAGGACTCCAGGGCCTGGAAGGTGTCCCTGCTGAGCACACGGAGAGCACCACCTAAGCCAGTTCTTTCCATGGACAGCCACTTTCCGAATCTTAAAGAGAAAAAACTAAAATCGTCAACACCTTGAGAACATCTCTCTCTCCTTAAGGAGCCCGGCCTTTTTACTCTAAGGGTTCCAAACTACACCGTTGGTTGGACCGCTGTGGGGTCTCCCCTGAGGAGCTATAACCGAATGCTGTAAGGGCAATGAATGAACGTCGGCAAAGGCCTGGGCGTCGTGCTTCATGCACTGTTTGCCCGGCAGTGACCCTGGGCTCCAGAGGACGACGGTCATCTGCAGGTGCGGGCACGGAGGGCCCGGGTGGCCCCCGGGTGGCGAGGCCGGGCGTTTACCCTATCCCCCACAGGGGGGGCAAGCCCGTCATCAACATCATCGTGGAGAACCGGCCAACGGGCCGTCTTTCTGTCCACACCAGCCCTCGGCCAGAGCGCGGACAGGAGGAAGAGGGGCAGAGAAATGCGCCGAGCCAGGGCTGCTGGCTGAGACGGGGTCTGGAATAAGAGAGAAGGAGCACTCTCTGCCTGGGGGAGCCGACAGGGCAGAGGCCTCACTGCCTGTCAAGCCCTCACAGGTCGGAGTTTCTGGAAAGCAGGAAGACCGGGGAATGATTCGTAGCATTTTAAGTTTGAACTACTACTTGCTGTTTACTCCCCACCTAGCTCTAAAAGAGACTGCAGATGACTTAGATAAAATACATCCAATGAAACAAAAGTTTAAAAAATATCTGGAAAATCAGGAACAGAGAAACAGACACGGAACCAGAGGGGAAAGAGCGAAAGGGCAGAATGCAGACATCAGGCTCCATGCTGCGGGCTGTGGGGCTACGGGAGGCCATCGGTACCTCAGGCACCTCGCCACCTGAGCTTGGTAGGGACGTCGTCCAGGCAAAGCCACCAGCCAGCGAGGCCGCAGGGAACTTTCCTACACAGACCTCGCCTCCCCCAGAACAAGGCCTCCAGGTGCCCAGTGGGAGCGCACGCTCCCCCAGAGCCTGGAGACCGCACGGAGGTGACGAGAGTTGACCCAGTGGCCTTGGTGGCCATGGCGGTGGGCAGGGGCACTTCCTCCCCCACCGAGCTTCAAGGTGCTCGGTGACAAGAAAACCCAGGCATGCTCCCGCCTGTGCCGCACAGACAGTCCCCAGAGGTCTGTGCTGTTTGTAAAGTGTCAAGCGGTAAGCAGACCTGACATGTGGGCTCTCCTGCAGGACATTCCGTGGGAACACACAGGAAGTCTCCCCATTCATAGCCTCGCTCCCAAATCCTCACCGGTGGCTCCCTCAGAAACCCCGCCAGTGCTTGGCCAAGTGGGACGCGTGCGTGCCCACAGCGTGTGCCGGTGATGGGCATGACAATGTGGCCGGAAACGCTGCCACGTCCCATGGCCACACTGGGCAGTGAGGGGCGCCAGCCCTGAACAAAACATGGCCCTAACAGGCAAGTGAAGAACCTCCGTGGGGCGGAGCTCTCCATGGCAAAAGCCAAGAAAAAGTAGTGAAGGGCCAAGGGAGGCAGGGAGCCACTGAGGACGGGCAAGAGCCTGAGGAGGAGCCAGAGGTGGACACAGCCCAGTGTGTCTCCCACGGTCACCGGGAGCCGTCCTGATAAGATGAGCCCGGGCGGGGGGGGACACACTTGCCTCCACGGAATGCCTGGCAAAACGGGTTGCCTGAACCTACCACCCAGCTTGAGAGATGCCCACAAAACCTGGCCTGAGAGCTTCGAAAACATCAAGGCTGCAAAACACAGAGAAAGTCTGAGGAATGTTCCAGATCAAGAATACGACAGAGAATGTACCACGTGGTGCTCGGCTGGGGACACACACAGCTAAAAGACCGCATTCAGCACGGACGGCGATCGGTAATAATGCTGCACCAGCGCTGGGGGTCCTGCCTCGGGCAGCTGTATGGGTTCTATACCAGAATGTCCTTGTTTTCAGGAAACACGCTCAAGTATTTACGTGGCTCAGAAAAACACGTGCACGTGGAGAGCGACAAAGACAGAATGAAGGAATATGCTCAGCAAATGGGACAAATGCAGACAACCTGCAATTCTGAGTTAGGGACATGGGGGGTCCTGCTCTATTCTTGCCACTTTCCCGTAAGTTCAAAACCAGATCAAAGTTAGTTTCAAAGAAAGCCCACAGGGTCCCAGAGCTGCCCCCAGTCCCTGCAGCTGCCAGGAATGCACTTTCCGGCAGGTTCTTCGCCTCTGGCCAGCTCACAAGCACCTGGTGATGGGGCTCCGTGGAGGAGGCAGGGGGCAGCAGGGTGATGGTGGGGGCACGAGAGCAGAAGGAGAAACCCCTGAAAAGCGAGTGGAGACACAACACTCACGTTCTTCATCTTGAAGGACTCCTCCTCCAGTCTCTCCACGGCCAGAATGTTCTCGATGGGAATGCTGTACAGAGGCTGGTCTCCTGCCGCAGAGAGGGCTCATGAGGGGGGGGCGAGAGGGTGCCCACCTTGGGGGGATGGGTAAGCCACACACAGGCCACGGGCAGCAGACACCGCGGAACAGCTGGGCCTCACGCACCAGGACCTCCCAGGGACCCTAACGCCTCCAGCCGCACACCGTCTCGAGGAGCCTGTCTCCACATTTTACTTTACCAGGGCCGCGTCACTGAGATCTAAGCCACATCAGATCTGGGAGGGCACAGCCAACACAGGACCCCGACTCCCACGCCTGGAGCCCAGAGGTGCAGGCCCAGCTGCTCCCCACCCCCACCCAGGCCACCCTGGTGGGCGGATGTCTCCCACATGGTCCTGCGGTGAGAAACTGCTCACTCCATGGGATGCTTACTCCATGCGCTTTGTTTCACTCCAGAAAAGCAGGCGGTAACCCCATCAGGGCCCCAAGCAAGGCTCTGGCCCCTCAGAATAAAGTGTGAGAATCAAGTAAAAAGCCAATTTCTCTTGTTACCTTTGCTTTTCTGGTAGGTAAATTCATGGTTGGTCAGGCGGAACCATCTTTTCTTAAAATTCTTCATCCCAAAGCGTTTCCGTCCTTGAGCCCTCTTAATCATGAACCTGTTGTGAACAGGACATGTTTGTGGGTAAATGTTGGGGCTCAGGGCACATCCAGCACCTTCCCCACACCACAGCCTGAAGTCCCATCTGCAAAATCCAAGTAAACTGTTTCTTTCACATCTGTCCTACCCAATATGGCCTGCAGATTTTTAACATCTTATTGTATCTCCAAGTGATAGGGTTAAAAACCAAAAGGCAAAGGTCTCTACTTCTGAAAAGTTTAGCACCTGCTTGTGCTGGTGTTAACTTTAAATCACAAGCTGGCAAGGACATGGGGTTCAACAGACCTCCAACAAAGCAGCCGCGCCCTCCCCATGCTTCCACACTGGGAATACCAACAAGAGACGCCCGTAAGAAGGTGGGCAGGCCCATGGGGCCATGGCAGGTGTGCTCTGGAAACAAAGAGGGATTGGAGCAGGAGACACCTCAGGAGTGGGGGGCTGATGGAGGGAGGGAGGGTCTTGAATGCAGGTGTAAGTGAGCCAATCATGCAGGGGTGGTTCAGCCTCCTCACCCCTCTCTCTGCCTGACAGGTGTTTCTCCACTCACACAACCCGCAGGGCAGAGGCACAAAGGAAAGCCAACACCACCACGTCTCACACATGCCCTGTGCACAATGTTGCTGGATTGGAGTCATGGACGACGGCCATGATGTCCCAGGCCTGGACTGCCCCTAACGGGTCTGGCTGCCTGTGAGCTGGGAGGCCACCAGCCACGTGGGCAGAGGCGCCCCAGTTCATGGCAGGGATGGCCAGGAGCACCGCCCCCGCATCTCCCTCTTGCTGACCCAGCAGCAGACGCAGGTTTTACCCTTCTTTAAGCAGGATGGGCTGCTCTATGCTCTTGGGGTCTCTTCTCCCAGAAGATGAGATCAGATCTAAAAACTAAAGTGGGAAAGACAGCAAATGGTTAAAGGGGAAATGGCACACTTGGATATATTCCTTCTCATGCAGAAACAGCAGAACACTGTGTCTCTTTCTGATGCCAGAGGAGAGAGGAATGTGGGGAGCATGGGTTCTTCTGCAAGAGTCAGGGGTCCTGAGTGTATCTCTGCTGCAGCGGGGAAGCTTCCGGCCTCCCACCAGACCCCCAGCTGCTGCTTCACCTGGCTGCCAGGCTTCTGGTGACACCTGGAGGCCCACCTGCACGTCAACAGGTGATGCAAGAATGCATCTCTACTGGAATGTGAGCAGCACAGGCTCTCCTCCCAGGACACCCTCCCCTCCTAATCCAACTGTTCCATGACCCGTCTGGATTCCCTCCATCAACTGATGCGCACCTCCAGCTCCTCTCCCTTCCTCCCATTCTGGGTCCTGGTTTTTATGATTTCTGAGAGGAAGTATGTGTGACTGCTTCTGAACACAAGAGAAAAAGTAAAGCTTTAGGATCCAGACAAGATCCTCTCCATGTGCCATGTCCCTGACTCCGGGTGTGGGTCCCTTGGCGCCATGACTCAGGCATTTGTGGGGACCCCAGAAGTAGATGGCCAGGAAGGACAAGGCAAGGGACTTGCAGAGGATTTCCAGAACAAACAGGGCAGCATCTAGAGAGGTAGAGCACACCACCAATCAGGGAGAAGAACTCCGTCTGTCCGTTCCAAACAGGAGGGTGTGGAAGGGGTCACGGCGCCCAGGGTGCAGAGTCCCAGGACCATACAGGCTGGACAGAACAGGAGGATGTAGAAAAGGGTCATGGCGCCCCAGGGTGCAGAGAGTCGTGGGACCGTGGACGGTGGACAGGAGGGTGTGGAAGGGGTCACGGCGCCCCGGGGTGCAGAGAGTCGTGGGACCGTGGATGGTGGACAGGAGGGTGTGGAAGGGGTCACGGCCCCGCGGGTGCAGAGAGTCCTGGGACCATGGAGGGTGGTCAGGGACTGCGAAGGTTAACGATGCTCTGAACTCTACAGTAGTTAATGGTCACTTCTATTTTCTGTGAATTTTAACTCAATTTTCTACCACAGTGGTTTCTTAACAGCATACGACTTGGGGGCAGGTCCGTTCAAGTTAACTGATGTCCATACTCACGTTTTTTACTGCATCAGCATATTTTTGTTCATTGAAGAATTCATAAAATGCAGCCATGTAGGATTCCTTAAAACTGGCCTAAAATGAAACAGGTCACTTAACAAAGGCCTACAGGTCTCTGGGCTCCTGGTCCCAAACAGAACCATCTAGAGGCGTGCATCATGACCAGCCTCAGTGACGGCCACTAAACAAAGTCAGATGCTGGGTGTATTGCTGCCCCAGGGCTCAGCCCAGGCTCTGGGTTCCAGGTTTGTGCAGTTTACACGGGCACCCCGATGAGGCTGCTGCTCTGGAGCCTCTTCTGTGACCTGGGGGTGCTGGCGAGGGGCCCCCGATGTGTGAACGTCAGGAACGCATGGCCGGCTTAGCAGCCCTCCCGACGCTGTGCCTGCCGTGAGCACCGTCCTCAGCGTTAGGCCACTTTCCTGTTTCTGGATGTGCCATGAGGTGGGTTCTGTGCAGACCTCACATCCAGCACGGACTCGTTCATCCGAGCCTCCATGGATGGCCAGACGAGCGGCCTGCTTGCTGCCGGCCACCACACACCCTTTACTTCACTCCAATCCACAGACAGCCGAGCGTTTCCCCCACGGGGGCTACTTGCCGGCAGCGACTGGACCCCACAAAGGACAGAATGGGGAGGGCTGGGCTGGGGCTTCTGCAGGTCCAGGCAGAAGGGGAGGCCTCCACCAGATGGGCCCTGTCCCTGTGCAGCCAGCCATGGCCTTAAATCCCATGGATGTGCCCAGCTGTCCCCACATCACCACCGCTACATGTAGCAGCCCCATGTCTTCAGAACTACATGTCATCATCCACGGTCTGGGGGCTGTGGGGCCTGGGGCAGACCCTCAGGGCCCGGAAGGATGCGGCGTGCTGTAGGCTGCCCCTGGAGGAGCCCCCCATCCATCCCAGGCAGCCTCAGGCACGGACGTCCATGCACCACCTGCTACAGTTATTGCCCCCGTGCCGTAGGCCGGTCTGAGGGAAACCCACTTGTTCGTGACAGAAGTGAAGGGATCTGTGAGGGGAGCACGACCCCTCCCCGTGTTGCTGATGAGCACTCTGGCCGAGGGCCCTGCCCTTGGGCACATGTTGCCCAAACACAAGAGACGCTCTGGTCCGGCCAGGGGACTGCTGGGTCCTGGGAGGGGTGATTCCACAGTGCCCCAGGTCACCCTCTTGCCTGTCAAGACCTCGGTGTTCCCCAGCAACAGTTGCTCCAGCAAGGGGGACTTTTCCTTTTGGCAGGGGCCAATGTCATCGCTCACCCTTGTGTCTAGGGAAGACGCAGGATTTGAACTTTATTCCTCCCCCTCCCCTTGCCCGGAACACAGTGGGATGAATCTACCACTGGTTTGGGGGATATTACTTCTTTATTGCTTATTAAGAGACATTAACCTGTACGCTACCGGCTTGTGAAATATTATTGTAAATCATCATCCCCACAGCGAACCTGCGTTAAGTACATCATTCACGAAGACAAACTCAGGCTCTGAGGACAATTTGCTCCCAAACAAAACAGTCTCAAAAAGCAAAGTTTCACAGTTCAGCAGCCAACAGGAGCTTCCAAGCTGCTGGTACGTTTTCTCTACTCAGATGGTAGGTGGGGATGCCATGTGGGTTTTATTGTTCCTTATCCTTATCACTGTGTTGAACCCACACTCTCTTTTTAAAAAGAGATGATTAAAATAAATGACTTACAGATTTTGACTTGGACAAGCTGCCAAGAGTTTGAATAGTCTTGGAGATAAGTGTCAGCGTCCTGGACGTCTGTGGGTCCTATCAGATAGAAAGGAGAAATGCACGTTTTGTTTCAGTTTTACAGAAATGTTGTGACTGAACCCAGAATTACACAGCTGACAAAACGGGTGACATCACCTAAAAGGCACCCGATGTGCTGCCTGCAAGTAACAGAAAGCAGGCGAACGCAGGACACATCCTTCTAAGCTACTCTGTTGTGCGAGCTTTCCCAGAGCTCGCACAACAGACGCTCAAGACGCAGGCTCTCGGGCCACTGCAGACTGGACCCCAGTGCCTCCCCAGGGCACCAGGGGGCCTGCAGGGCAGGGAGAGGAGAGTAGCTGCAAATAAGCGCCCAGCCTGACATGCACAAGGGGCATCTTTAAATGAGCAGCTTCCCTGCCCAGTTCTGAATCCCCCAAGCAGCCCTACTCGGGGTGTCTTGCTTGCCCTTCATGCGGTTTAACCTAAAACCAACAAAGATGGGAATAGGGCCCCTTGAATCCCCTGGCCCTGGGCTTTCTGCCAAGCTCGGTCACTGCAGGGTATGCTCTGCTGGTGCGTCACTCAGAGCCTGGCCCCGAGGGGCTCAGTAAACGTTTGTTGATTGAATATGTGACTGAATGTACACAAGATCATAAATGCTCCATTTTTTCTAAGGTGGGAGTGAGAAATCCCGGTCACAGCATCCACCTGTGTTTAACAGACACAGCTTGGCAGAGGTGCTAACCCTTCCTGTGGATAAAGGAGTTCATAGCCTGGCCGCCCCTCCCTCCTTCTCCAGCAAGGATGCTGCACACGCACCCGCGAGTCCGGAGGGCGGGTTTCCCAGTTTATGGGGGCTGACGTTCACTCACCGTGTGGTGAGGCGTGAGCTGGAAGAGGTTGGGAGACAGGATGGCAGGAGCGAAAAATCTCAGGAAAATGAAGCTGCTCACAGCGGTGTACCTCACGTCTAGGTCATCTGTGGCCGGGAACACAGAGAGCCGATTCAACGTCCTTCCAGGGAAAGCGGTGAACCTGGGGCCTGCCCCCGGTTGCTCTCCCCCTCACCACTACTAACAGCTCAGCCCCATTTGGTAGCGGGGCCATGACAGACAGGACCTGGCTGGCCAGCTGGGCGGGAAGACGATCCCAGAGGGTGTCTGAGGGCTCGGTGTGCTCGGTAGCGGCCCCTCCCAGACACTAGGTGCTCTTTGGCGCTGGAAGGAGCCCATGTGCTCTGAAAGCAGGAGCTCCTGTCCACAGAGCTGGATATGAGGCCCAGCCTCCACTGCTGGACAAGCTGAGAGGTGCCCACACAGGCAGGCGGGAGGGGGCTCCTGTCAAGGCCCTAGGGACTACTCTGGGGGCTCAAAGGTCCCCGGAGGCAGCAGGACACATCTGGGCTGACCCACGGGCTCCTCAGGGCCGTGGACGGGGCTTGCCGGACTGCGTGGGGAGGCAGGCACCGTACTGGCCCCTCCTCAGCCTTCATCCCAGTCTTCAGTTAACCTGACACTTGCCACCAGGGCAGGACACTTTTGTTCTGGTGCCTCCCTGACCAATGGGCACAACCGAAGGGGCGATTCATCCCCAGGGTCCCTCCTGTCCCAAGACCACAAGGGCTCAGCAACGCAGACTTGCATGACGTGGGGTGCTGAGTACTGCCTCGACCTTCCAGTCAGAACCGCGAAGAACCGGGAAGGGCGGCTTCTCTGACCGGAGGGGCCCAAACTCACAGAAATTAATGCTCCATCCCAAATAAACCGCTGTGACCAAACTTGGCCAGCCGGCCTTCCTGTCTGGGGCCTGGGCCCGGATCCACCCGGGGACAGCTGCAGGCAGGGCCCAGAGCCCGGCCGGGCAGGAGAGGGATGCCGTGTGGGAACGGGCACTGACCCCGCGCCATAGCTGGAATCATGTCTACACAGACTCTGCAACGTCCCTTCTTGGCTTTGAGGTGCCTGGCCGTGGGGACAGGGACCACCCAGCAAGGGGCCGTGGACGTTTTCTGCACCAAAGACTCACCCTGGAAGCGTTTGGCAGCCGCCTCTCGAAGAGAGAAGAAAATGTCGCACATGACGGTGGGGCAGCTCACCCCTGATTTGATGATGACGTTGAAGATGCGGTCCACGTACTGCCGCAGGTTCTCCTGCAACGGGGTGCGGGTGGGTCACCCCAACTGCCTGTCTGGATCGCTCTCTCCCCAGGCCGCCCTGCCAGCCCCTGGAGCAGTCCGACCACACCGGGGATGGAGCAGTCGTGGACAGCCGTGGCAGCCACTGATGCACTCCCCCTCAGCATGTACAGAGGGGCCTCTTCGGCAGCAGCAGCGGTCACCAGGGCAAACACCTGGAGCTCTGGGGGCAGGGCCAAGCCCCTGCGTACCCCTCCTCCACGCTGACCTCGTTAACGGGTGCAGGGATGAAACTCCCTGGAACGTGCCTCCCCAACAGTGAGAACCCCGTCTCTTTTCTTTAAAGGCAAGAAAAAGACTTAACCTGAATAAACCCTATGTAAGATTAAAACTCCCTGTCCAATCAGAGAGTCTGGCTGTTTTAAAAAATGACCCCACCCTGGGAGGACACGGGTGGACGCGGCCTGGGTGTGGGACCACGTCTGTTGCAGCAGGACAGACCAGGCTGGGAAGAAGCCAGGCCATGAGCCAGCCCGGGGGGGAGGCTCCCGATCGCCCCAGGAGAGGGGAAAGCACAGGCGCCGAGTGCGCCAGGCCAGGAGCAGTGTGAGTCAGCAGAAAGGGGCCGAGAGCCGGGTGGGGTGGTGGTGCCACTTCCCAGAAGCAGAAAGGGCCAGTCTCCTCCCACAGGCTCCGGTGGACACCCTGCAGAGCACGTCCCAGTATGGTCCCCACCCCAAATCCTAGAGAGACGCAGCGCCCAAGGTGGCCACATGCCCAAATCCTGCAGATGGGCGACTGGCTCCGGAGAGGGCTGAACAAATCAGAATTCCTTACCATGTTGTTCTCCAGGTTCTCCCCATCTTTTAGCTTCACAGGGTCAATCTCACAGGATTTGTGGCTCTGGCATATCTGGAAAGTGCATTTATGACAAGGAGTGAGTGACACAAATTCCAGGATCACAGGTGGGTGGAGGTCAGGGGCTCAGGGGGCATCAGGAGCTGCGGCCACACCCCCCACCCGCGCACCAGGGGGAGGAGGGCCTTCAGCGTGGCCACAGACACAGCCTCGGTCCGTGAGGAATGGGACTTTCTCGAAGACCATTCCCGATCAGCGCACGTGGGCTCAGGTTTCATAAAGTTTAAAAACGTGGTTACTTCCAAGTGTTGGCAGGTCTCTGCACGCGGATCAGAATGCGAATTTAAACTTCCTCACGTTCCTGCATTTTACAAAGCTGTTCTGGGGGAACTGCGATCTGCTCAGGGGTCCCATTAAAGGTCAGGCGAGGAACTTGGAGCCACTGGGGCAGGAAGCGCGTGAGCGGAAACAGAAGGGCCATGCACAGCCGAGGCTGCTCTAGAGAGAATGTCAACCACAAATTCGGGGGGACCCGCGGCTGAAGGAAAGGGGTGTTCTCCGAGGAGCCAGTTTTTCTCTGCATGTCCTTCTGTCTTCAGCAGACGAAGAATTTTCTGAAGTAAGCATTTTTTTAATTTGAGAAAATGAGGAAGATTCTGGAACACAGGTGGAAGGGCCCTGTGGTGGGGCTGGGAAGGAGGTGGCATGGAGCCCTGCAGCCAGGTGCTCCCGTGCGCAACACGCCCTGCACAGCGACCTGATGTTCAGTGTTGTGGGGCATCCCTCACACGCCACCCAACGGCACCGGGCCCACGGAGACTCCTCGGGGGCTGCACGGTGGGACTTCCACTCACCTCCTCTATGGTGGGCTTCAGGGTCACGTGCAGGTAGTGCATCCCTGCCAGCTTCATCGTCTCGTCAATGCACTTGGACGTCAACGAGTTTCCTCGGAAAATGGTGTTGGGGTCCCTGTAAAACAGTGTGGGAGGCAATTCTGTCTCAGAGAGCAAGGGGTCAGCGGAAGCAGAGCCTGTGCCTGAGTACCCGTCCACTGGATGCAGAGATACGCTCCCCCTGCTGAGTCTGCTTCCAGATGTTCTGGGAGGAAAATGAGACCAAGCCACATGTTTCACAGCTAGGCATCCTGAGCCCCCCAGCTGGGCGTGAGGGACAGACCTACTACACACAGCTGTCCGGACAATTCAGCGGAACATCCACACACCCACTGCCTTGCCCCTTGTGAGGTCCGGTTTTGCACCAAGTTAATGCTTCTAAGGACCAAACCTGAGGTCAGCATGGGAAGTCCAGCAGGGAAGCAAATGTAACAGAATGTGCTTTAAGCCTTCTCTCAACTAGGGTGCATTCTGGATCTTTCTAAGCCAAGAGCTCCAGGGACAGACTCCATCCCCACGGAAAACCCATCCCCATGGAGTGAGCACAGGTCCTGGGGCAGCAGTGACCCTGTCCTCTGCTGTGGGCCTAATACTGAAGCTGCCACCCTCAGACCACAAGAACTGGGCCCGTCCCCAAGGCAACCCATGCCCCTGTGCACCCCCTTTTTGCATGCACACCTTGGGATTTCCAAGAAAAGGTGCATTTTAAGTGTGTCTCTGGGGTGTCTGGGTGGCTCAGTCGGTTAAGCGTCTGCCTTCAGCTCAGGTCATGATCCCGGGGTCCTGGGATAGAGCCCCACACTGGGCTCCCTGCTCGCAGGGAGACTGCTTCTCCCTTTCCTCCCCACTTGTGCTCTCTCTCACTATCTCTCTCTCTCAAATAAATAAAATCTTAAAAAAAAAAAGAAAAGAAACAGTGTGTCTCTGAAAGGAAAAACTGAGCCTGTTTGGGTCCCTCTCGCTGTCCCAGATCTGCACTTGGACCAGCACTGAGGGAGATTTCTGCTACCCTGGGGTCACCCAGACCTGCCCCAGCCCAGCCCCTCACCACTGGGTGGTCACTAACATAGGCTGCAGCCCTTGGGGAGGTGGGGTCATGGACAGAGGCTGAGGCTCACTCACTGGGTCCTCTGGACCTCGGCGTTGGCAATGGCGCTGATGAAGGGCACCACCCTGCCATAGTGCAGGAAGAACCTCACGAGCGGAATGGCTGCCTCCTGCTTTTCCCTGCAGACCTCGCCCAGGACGTGTGCTGCGGATGCCGACACTGGCTGTGGGAAGGGAGACACCATGGAACCCCAGTGCAAGGCCCCCAGCCCTGGGGGTGGGCTGCAGACCCCCCACTCCCCATCTGGCGTGGTCAGTGGGTTGGTGGTCCTGGGTCACCATACGGAAGGCCCAGACCCCCATCCTGTCCTGTGGTGCCTCTCCCACTAAGATATGCAAAAAACTGTGTATTTCCTGAAACCCACATCAAACCCTCCAATTTGCACATGTGCTCTGGGTGCCTTCTTGGGGGGTCCTTCCACCCACCTCCAAATCTAGCACTAGGGCCGGTGGCCTCAGGGCCACAGTCAAACAAATCAGAAACTGTGGGCCTTGCTGGGTTGCCACAGGGCTCTAACTGCTGGTGGGGTGTGGGGAGGGGCTTCCACCTTCCCAGCAAAGGGAAATACAGGTATTTCTGGGCACAGAGCAGGCTTGGGGGATGGTATGCAGGGTAAAGTCACCCACCAGGAACTGGGAGCCCAGATGCAGGGCCAGAGGTGGACAGGCTTGGTGCCTTGTAGGGGGTGGAGGTGGGCAGGTGGGGTGGCTGGGAAGGGGCTGGGGGGTGGAGCCAGATGAGGCTGAGGGGCCCTGGGGGGCCCAAAGGCTGGAGCTGGGGTCAGGAGCTAGTAGGTCAGTGGGTTTGGGGGGTGGGGAGGTGGTGGAGCCAGACCGAGGCAGGGGGCTGGGAGGGTCAGGGCAGGGCTTGCGGGTGCTGGAGCCAGATCAGGGCTGGGGGGCCAGGGACTGGAGCTAGGAGGTGGGTGGGGGCCGGAGGGGTGGAGCCTGGTGGGGGGGAGCCAGACCTGGATGGTGAGGGGGCCAGGGGGTGGAGCTGGGGGCGTGCGGCCAGAGTCCGGAGTTGGGTGGAGAGCCACGCTGGGGGCAGAACAGGGCGAGGAGGTCTGGCCCCAGCTCCACCCTTCCGCAGGTGTTTGTAGGTGGCCCAGGGCGTGGCAGGTGCGCTGCGCACACAGGTACCTCCACATCCGCAGACCTCAACAGCAGGTCCCGCAGCGGGCTGTAGTAGTCGGAGGAGAAGACGTGGTCCTCAGTGTACACCACGTTCAGCCGCAGGGACCCCAAGTCCCCCGGCTTCAGGCTCTTGCTGCCGTTGTCCCGGGGCTGAAGGAAGTACCTGGGCGCAGGACACACGGAAAGGGCAGGGTGAGTGGCAGCACCATCCACGGGCTGGCTGTTTGCCCGTCATGGGCTGTGTCGGGGTCTGAGGCAGGAGGGGCTCCAGGGTAGTTCTGCAGGACACCTCTCTGTCCCGTGCCGGGGGTGTTCCCCACCTGACCCCCCCGCAGGGCGTGTGGATGGGGGTGTTTCTCGTGGAAACCCCCCCTCCAGGGTCCGAGTGTGGGGGCATGGTCAGTTATTCCCGACGGCACCCCCACAACACACAGGGTCCAGGCGCCAGAGGCCTTTTCAACAGGAGCCCCCCTGCAGGGTCTGTGCCCTGGGTGCCCCCCACATTGTTTCCTCTGGGAGCTGACTGTGCAGAGCCACAGACACAGAAGTTAAGGCAGGAAAGCAGGAAGGATGGAAGGGGCAGGAGAACGAGAAGGGACATGAGAGAGTGGTCACGGGAACTTTGCAGCCAAACCACCTATCTGTGAAGATGAACGCCTGACAGGGTCTCGCAATAACAGCAAAGCTGCAATTATTCCGAGAAACGAGCGGCAGAGCTCCCCGCATCACAGGGACTGGTGATGCGTGCTGGTCAGCAGGCAGACAGCCACAGTACGCGGTCACCTCCTCGGTGTTTTCTCACTGGACACTCTTCCCCCAGCAACCCCCCTTGTGGCCGTGCAGGACCCTGTCTGCACTGAGCTGATGGGCCGCGCGGTCCGAGATGAGATGTGGGCAGTGTGCACCTGGCTGAGGCGCCTGGCCACCTGAGGTCCTGGGCGGTTGTCCACTGAGCTGCCACATGACCATCCCATCTTGGTTACGGGGCTGGGGTGCTCCCAGCAGGAACAGAACCCAGCAGGAGGCTATGCTATAGCACTGTCCTCACAGAATTAAAGACAAACTCCAGTGTCCCCGTGACAGTAAACTGCCATTAGGCACAACACACAAAAACCCACCCACGTAGTGGGTCTGTGGACGCGCAGGCTCTGGTACGTGGCCTATGGCCTGTGACCACGTGTCCCCATCTTGTGTGTCTGTTAGAGGAGATGCTTGTGACCGCGCTTCACAGTGATGACAACCGCTGTGCTAAAAAGTGATTTACGAAATGATCGCGAAATAAAGGCATGTGAGTGAGGCTGGAGGCAGAGCTCAAGGAGATTCGCCTGGAACAACGCCTTTGCTTCGCTCCACAGCAGGTGACACCCGGGATGACGGGCCACGGGGCAGGCCTGGTGCGGCAGGGCTCCCAGGAGTGCCGGCGGCCTGCCCGCCCTGCTCAGGCCCGTTCTCAAAGCCGCAAGGCTCTCAGGGTCCTGCCCTTGTCTCTGTCAAGGCCCTCAGCCACCATTCTCGCCATCTGCCCCGCCCACCAAAATGGCATCTGTGCGCCTCCTTGTGCTGTTTCCCACCTGCAACCCCATCACCTCGCCACAGCGAACCGGGACCACGTGCAAAACCACAGCGGGTGGCCCCCTCATTTAGGCTGCCCAGCGGCAGCCCCGTCCGTCCGCCCGCCCGCCAAGAGGGCGTGGGGCCACGGGCACAGCCACCTTACCAGGCTTCGTAGGAGCTGGACTGGCGGAGCACGTTCAGTGGAACCCTCAGCTCTCCCAGAAACTCATCTCCAAATTTCAAGTTGCTGGCATTCCAGAGGTCAACTCTGAAAAACAGCCAATGGTACACAGATCTCCATAAGGGATGACTGAGGGAGGGCAGGTGGACAGCCGTGCTCCTCAGCTTCCCCAGGAGTGTCTGGGGCGGGTTGGAGCCTTCAGTCCCACGGACCCGTGTCCCTGAGGAGCAACACTGACTGAGCACATCTAAAACGTGGGGTCAATACAGGATGTGCCTCTGGCATGAAGACGGGTGTGTCCCTGGGCCTCGGGGGCAGGGAGAGGAGCTGGAGGCCTGGTGTCAGGGCGAGGGGCCTCCCGTCTTCTCAACAGGAAGACAGTGCACTCGGGTGGGGCTCTCGGTGTTCCCTCCGATTTGGGGCCATGGCGGCTGTGTGTGTGACAGGTGGGAGCATGGACGGAGGAAGGGCGTCCCCGGCGCCAACAAACAGCCTCGTGCACCCCACAGTGAACACCTTAACCGGAGCTTACTCCATGAGCTGAAAGTCTAAGACCAGTCTCTGCACACATGGCGGTCACGGGGAAAATTCTAGAAGACTGCATGAGCCCTCTGTGGCCCCTGAAGTCCAAGCAGGAGCCACAGGCATCGTGGAAGGGTGTACTAGAGGGACACGGGTGCATCAGGGACACGGGGAGAACAGTGGCCCCGTGGCACTTCTAGAATAAAGAAAGTGGAAACTTTAATTTGCCAAGCGACACCTTAGCAATGGGACCAAAAGCTGCCAGGCTGTCTTTTCCTCTTTTTAGTAAGAGCAATATTTGTTAGTCTGCTTAAAATGCAATAGCTAGGACTTCACTCTTGAATTTAAAGCCCAGTCTTGGATAAACACTTCTCTTTCTGAACAAGAAAGGCGAGTGGTGTGTCTGAGGGCACCTGGTGCACAGCTAAACCTTCAGTGCGGCCTCTGACTGCCACTGGGACTTTCAGACACTCAACTGGGGTCCCCTTGCTGCTGGTTCTTTGAAATGGAAGACTTAAACTGGAAACACCTAAGACCTGTGTGTAGAGGTCGGCCCCCCTCAGCGCCTGAAGTCACAAGACGAACAAAGACAGAGCCCGAGGGTCCCACACTCGGGGGAGGGAAGGGCCTCTGTCCATGCCCCCACCCACCCAAGCCCCGTCCCCCCAAGAGAACATCCACAGTATCCCAGTCAAGCCTCATGTGCCTCAGGAAGCCTTGACCCCACAGGAAACCAGGCTGCAAACCAGGTCAGAGCTACAGGATTCCTCAGGGCCAGCCCCAGCCAGGGTGACAGGAGAGGGTGCCCCCGCTCAGGCTCTCTCCTGGCATCTTGGGGGAGGGGCGGCTGGTGGGTGCAAGGCTCCTGAGAGGCTCCTAGGACTGACGCGGCTGGACGTCCGGTGTGTTCTGCTACGAGCCGTGCGCACCGAGGGCTTTACCGCGAGGACTCCCCAGCAGCAGGACCAGGGGCTAGGGGGCCAGGCCAGTGGACAGAGCCTCACACACTGAGCAGCATAAAGCCACTGACCTCCCCTCTCAGAAGGTACCGCAAAGTGAACTCTAAAACCACATCTGTCCCTCACTCCCTGAATCGCCGGCATGTTCACGGCTCTTACTTCAAACTCCCCGTGTCCTAGCATTGAAATTACCAGAAAACTGAAAATCTCCTTCTTTCCATTCCCTTATTTTTAGAAACAAAACAACAAGACAGAAGAGGTGAGTTCAGACGGCAGCCGCCAAGCAGGAGCCTAGAGACCGCGGTTCTTGCTCTCACCGGATTTCAAGTTTGTCCACGTCTTCCTCCTCGAAGTCGAAGTGGGACTTCCGGCTGTAGCTGCAAGGTCTGGTCACCTGGAGGTGCAGACGGGAGGAAGATGTGTGCGCCACACCCCTGCCCGCAGAGCACCCCATGTGCCAGCCGCCCCCAGGCCCAGCGAAAGGCTGCGGACCCCCACCCGGAGCAGAGGTGGGGTCCCAGCCTGCAGGCATGTCTGGAGCCCCTTCTCCAGGGGGCTGGGGGTGCAGGCGGGGCTCTGCCTCATCACCCTCCCAACACCCCTGCCTCCCCCTCCAAGCACCTGGGCCAGCTCCCTCCCTCCTCAGCCCCAAAGCGCCAGGTGCCTCCCCTCCTGCCCTCCTCCTTGGGCCCCGAATTCACTCCTGCCCAACCCTCCCATCTCAGCACCTCTGCCCTTACGGCATGTCAGCAGCCCGTGCTTCTCACAAGCAGGGCTCCCGTCCAGCCATCGCCCAGCTTGGTCCTAGCCTCATCCACTTTCAGCTGAGGCTTCTGAAGGTCCCTGGAGCCCCCACTAGTTCCCCTCACCCAGTACACAGGAGTCTTTCTACAACCTGCACCCCCTGCCCAGTTCACCACCGGGCCTCTTCCTCACTCAGGCCAATGCTGGGAAGCCTGAAGGTTACTCTGCAAGGCCACCTCCTCCAGGAAGCCCCCCAGAGCCTCCACCGCCTGATGCAGCTCAGTGTCTGGCTTATAGTATGGTGGGCACAGGGTCTCTGCATGGTACCTAATGTATCTACTGAGTGAAGGAAGATGGTTTTAGTAGAACTGTAAATAACTGCATTAGGTATTTAAGAGTTTTTAGGTTAAGTCTAGCCATTACCCTCGAAGAAAATGGTTTGGAGACTACTTCCTGTTGAAATCCCTATAGGAGGCTGTCTGCTAGCCCAAAGCCAGCCACTGGGACTCCAGTGCCAGGAGCTTGGCCGCAGGCTGTCAGAACTGTGGGGATCGTTTGCAAGATGAAGCAGAAAGCGGGTACAGAGAACCCAACAAGGAGATTTAGGTGTTAAGCAGGGCTCAGCCCTTTGAGTCTAAGACCATAAACTCCAAACAGAACCGTATTGCAAGGTCCTGTGGTCTGAGGCTGTGAGAGCGGCAGGTGTCAGGTGGGCCTTACCCAGCAGCACTGAGGGCCTAGGTCTGGACCTTCCTTGGGGTCCTGCAGGATGCAGTTCTGAGCTCAGCTGTTTCTGGGGCTTGTGAAATTAATCTAGTGAGTTGAGACCCACGTTTTTACAGAGTGAAATAGAAGCATATGACATAGAAAGTGTGTGTCACCACCCCGGTGGTCCACGAGGCAGTGGAAAGTCCGCACTTTACTGTGTGCTGTGTTCAACACAAGCTTGGGAAGTGCTGACCTGCTATTCTAGGCAGCAGGGACAAGGAAGGGTGGTGCTGCTTTTAGTGCATAATTCATTACTAAAAACGGTTCTTTACTCTCTGTCCCAGACACCCTCCCTGCCGCTGGAGCCCTGGCATGAAGTCCCCTTGAGATAAGGCTGACCACATCGGCTTCCTGCCTGATCTCGAGTTTCCTAAAATCCATGTTCTGCACCGGGCTACGAAATAAGCATGTCCTTCTGGGACAGAGAATGGTGCTATGCCCTCAGTACTCTGACTCCTCACCCCTTCTCACAGCTGCCCAAGAAGCCTGACCGCTGACCTCCAGCATTTTAGAAAACTCTGGGCTTCTGGACCCCAGGCAGAAAACGTCCAGGTTCTGTGCACGTGAGCTCCTCAGTTCTAACCCAACTCTCCAACTTCCTTTTCCAAAACTCCCCCTTCTCACACCAACCTTACCCTAAATCTAGAGGTGCATTTTCGTTCGGCCTCACAATGCACCTTTCCAGACTCTACTCAAGCGCCACCATTCTGGGAAGACTTGTTCTATTTCACCAGGCAGGACTGATGGTTGTGTGCTCTTCCCCAAAGCCACTGACTCAACAGCCACTTCACCAAGTACATAATCCACTCCTGTGCACGCTTCTCTGCTTGGTAGCAACCTCAGGAAGAGAGGAGTAGAGGCCTTATTCATCCTTAGCCACCCAGGACCTGGTGCCTACGAGACCTTCGAGAAACCTTTGCAGATGGAAAGAACATCGGCCTGAATATGTTGCCTCGGGGTCAGCTGAGTCTGCTACTGTTCTGTTCCACAGTCTTCGGCCCACGTGCCTCTCATCTTACTAACTACAGTGGCTCACAATTCTGAGAGGCAGCCGGGGGGATCTCTGTGCTCAAATGCATTTCCTCTTTTGCTTCAGACCCCTCACTATTTCTGGTGAAACAAGCCTCCCTCCACTGCTCAGGAAAGACTGGGAGAAGCAAGCAAAAAAACAAAAAGCCAACCAAACAATAAAAAAAACCCAAATCCTGATAATTCGGCAAGTATAACCTGTCAGCATTCAACTCAAAACCAAGGAAGCAACAAATGGCCTTTCTTTCCAGGGGCGAGAGGAAGGTTCCTGGGAGCTCAGCTGATGCTGCAGGGTGGGAGGGAGGCGTCGGGTGCGGGGAGGTCATCCCAGGACTTACAGGAGGAAGCCAGCGCCCGAGGTCCTGCGGAGCCACACTTTCCCCAAAGGTCTCAATGTGACATTCATGCCACTAAAATACCAACCTCAAAATAAAACACTTCATCAAACTGGGGGTTGTTGGTCTTCTTTTTCACTTTTGTCTTCTTTGCTTCCGATCTGAAATCAAGGAGGAAGGGTTAAGATTAAAACCAACACTACTGACACCAAGTCTTTCTGCCTTAAGACTGAGCAAGCAAATGCACAAGTAACTTACTGCCCAATATTTCTGTTTGTCTCTAACCCAGATGGTATGCAAATCAGGAACCTTTACTAAGCCAAAAATACCCAATGTGGAAAACATAGGGGCCTTTTTTACCAAGCAGTTTTAGGGCAGTAGAGGAAACAAGAATAAGTCGGGACAATACTCCCCACCGCACAGCCTATCCTGCATTTTTCTGGAATCCTCAGCATCACCGCAGCTGAGGCTGTGGGCAGGTGCGGGCAGAGTACTTGCCTGTATGGTCCTGCTAGCGTCACAGTTGCATAAGGGTCACACTGCCCATTCACGATGGGGAGGCCTTGGCACTCGAGGATGCTGAGGAGAGAGGCGGGGGGGGTCAGGAGTGGGAAGGGAGGGGCCCCACAGGCAGTTTCTCGAGGCTGCTCTGAGGTCGCAGGGGGCAGCCGTCTCAACAGCCACGGCCAAGGGCCATGAGCTCTGGGTGGTGCTGGTCTCATGGCCCAGAAGCAACTGTCTAATGAACGGTGATGGGTGCACCGATTAGCAATCGGAAGACATTTGGGGGCAGGAGAATGCGAGCGTCTTAGCTGCGGAGAACAGGCTCCCGGTGACCCCCATGAGCGATGCCACTGCCTTCCCATCGTAGGAACCAGCCATAGTTCAAGAACCTTCCGTGACCCATGCGTTTACCTCTCCCACAAGCTGACAAAGTAGCTGCTGTGGCCATGTTACAGGTGGGAAGACAGAGACCCCAGCAACTGAGGGGCTTGTGGGTCTAGCCCGTGTACGACCTCCACGCCACACATGCCTCGCGGCAGCAGAACACACCCCACCGCCAGGCTCTCCTCATTCCCAATCCCTCCCACAGGTCCTGGCACACTGTCCCGGTTCCCGGTTTGCTTTAACTTCTGGAGCACAGCTGGTTACACAAGTTCTGGGACCACCATTTCCCCTAATCCTGCCATCTCTGCCACCCCCGAGTCTGCTTCTACGGACTGTTCCTTCTCCAGGCCGTGGGTCACATCGTCCTGTTCCTGGCATGCCAATTTTGAGCACATGCCGGATGTTATGAATCTCAGGCTGCTGGTGTCCAGATGCCATTGCTTTCTGAAGAACAGAGCTGATTGGTGGTTAAGGGTCTCTTGGTGCAGACTGATCTGCACAGCAATTCTTGTTTGAAGCTTTGTCAGGGGAGGCGCCAGCCGCCTCTGTCCAGGGACTGTTTGGTTCCCCTACATAGGTGTGGCCCTCTGAGTCTGCACTGAGCTTCCAATGGGAATAAGGATCTCCACTGGGCTGGCGGAGATTCAAATGCTTCCCAGCCCCACACGAGCCCCTTCAACTCTCCCCGAACCTGTGGCGCTAGCCCTCTGTATTCCCACAGGCTTGTGCAGTGCTGGGAAGTCTGCTCCTCTCCAGAACACATCCGCAGCGGCCTCAGACCCCCAGGTGCAATCTCTGTGTCCCCACCCACTTCCAGGCTCCACTTGGGACACCTCCTGCCCCTCGCCACCCACACACCTGCAGGACAAGACCAGGACCACTGCGGCTCTTGTGTCTGCTTCCCTTACTTGGGGTCACAGAGTTAAAATGCCAACTGCCCAACATCCAAAATGTTCCGCTCGCCCAGCATCCAGCTCCTAAGCTGTCTGTGGTGGGAGAGGGGGTCCGGGTCCCAGGATTCCTTCATGGCAGGACAGTCCTACTCCCAAAGAGGAACATCAGTTTGGCTCTAGAGATGTATGATCACTTTCCCTCGAATCCCTGAGTGCTCCAGTCTCTCCTTGCCATTGGGAAGCCAGAAAACAACCGGGTTCCTGCCCTCCTTCGTTAGCCAAGCGATCTTTTGCCCCTCTTGGGGAGGAGTTAGCTTCTAACATTTTACCAGAATATCTCTTTCTGCTTGAGGGGTTTGTTTCCTTCATTTCTCCTTCATGGTGCTTATGGCCCTTCAAGCGGTGGACACGCTGGTCCCACGATGTTAGCCTTACCTAGTATTTTCAACCCTTTACTCTTACTCTACTTTATGAAATAGTTCTGGGTTTCTCTCCTGGATTACTGACTTGGTCTTTGGTTATCTTCCTCCCCTTGTTAACTCATCATTAAAGAAATATTTATTCATCCATTAAGTCATCATGAAACAAATACTTGTTGAGATCTTATCCGTGGCAGGCACACTTCCAGGAATGGGAGCTGCAGGGAAGCTCGGGTGAGCTCAGCTGGTAGAGCAGCGAAGAGCACGACAGTCAACGCGCAACATGCAATTGTCACGTGCAGCGACGCAAAGAAAGAAAGAAACCAGGAACAACAACACAGAAACACAAGCCGGTGGTCGACCTGTCGGGTGCTTGGAGGCCTCCGGGAGAAAGTGGCTGCAGTCTGAAGGACAAGAGAGTTGGGGGGATGGAGGACCCCAGCAGCTCTGAGACGGCGGGCAAACAGCTTGCTCAGGAGACGTGCAGGGAGGCCCTCTCCCTGAGCAAATGACCCCAGCTAAATGCAAACACATTTTTATTACATTCACTTGTTGATCAAGAAAAAGGTTTAGATGGTAAGTGTGCCCACATTTTGGATCCTCAAAGCTAATGGGTTTTCATGACCAGAAACTAGAAGGCCTTGCTAATAAGCATCAAACTGAAAGCAAGTTTCCCCACATCTATGTCCCGGAGAAGCACCGTGAGATGCGGGGCAGCTGCCTAGAGCACATCTGGCAAGCACGTGAAATGTTGCCGTTTTTCCTTCTCCTAAAGACCGATTTGAGAAACACTCTCTAACTAAAGCAAAGACTGGATACTGATCACACCTACACAAAGACATCTTGGAGAAGAAAAATCAATACCCTCCCATGGGGTACGCCCAACACGCCAACAGGAATAAGGGCATCAGCCTCCCTCACGCGCTCGGCCTGTGGGTTCTGGCTGCAGGTGGGCCACGGCCCAGCACACAGCCTGGCGGGGGCTCTCGTGGGCCGTCCGGGGCACACAGAGCCCAGGTTCTCTGTACTTCACACACAGTGCATCTCTTCAGGCTTACTGTCTTCGAAATAACTTCAACCAATGCTTCGGAATGCTCTAGATAAATAGCGGAAAGGAGTAAAATATTTACTACACTGGCCATTCCTACATCCGGGAAAGGACACTGTGACACACAGTGACCCAAACAGTCAACTAATCTGGAATCTAAGGCCCCACAAGTACAGTATTTTGTACGTATTACAACATTTTTAGGATTTTATATTCAAACTGACCCTTAAAACAAGGTTATGCCTCACAGCTGGAATAACAACCTGCCACTCTGAAATCTTGTTTCATTTTTCTCCCCCATCAGTGTGGACACAGGCTGCTGCCTCCGCTTCCCGCCCCATGAGGAGGACACTTGCCTGCTGAACCAGAGGGCTACAGACGTCCTAGCCATGCAGTGACAAAGCACCACCGTGGCCACCAGCCTACCACCTGCTTGGCCCTCCGCTCATGCTCTGGTATGAGAGGCTTCCTGACCCCAGAAGGAGCCACATATCAATAGTCTGTTGTAATTTCCTAATAATAGAAAATAGGATCTTTATTGGATTCGAGATGCTGTTAGAAGCCTGAAAACAGGTTAATTCCTCACTTGGATGCACCTCAAGGTGGAGGTACAGGCGGCCGGTGCCTGCTTCCCTGGCCATCGGTATGGCAGCCTGGCCCCCAGCAGCAGGGCCCCCTCCCCCGGTCAGGGGGGCTGCCCCAGGGGGCACCTGCAGGGCCATCAACAGGCCTCTGGTCTGCTCGTGAGATAGTGAAGCTTGAAAGTGGGAAAGTGCAGGAACCCCTACTTTCAGACAAAGCAGGTGGCCACAGGATATACCCAGAGAGAGACTGCCACACGGGGACAAGAAAGGAGGCGAGCAAAGGTCTCTTGCAACGCTAGCAGAGCCAAGAACTGCGCACACGTCATCTTTCACACTCATCTAGCACGAAGGGCTGGGGCGCATCTCCCACCTGCGCTACTATTCTAAAGGAAGCAGATGCAGCGTCGGAAAAAATGAGTTCACTTCCGATCCATGACCTGATGTCCACTCAGCCCAGCGCATGCCCTGAGGGTCTCACAGACACCTGCAGATGGCTTCAGGACCTCTACCCTGTGCCGGATGGGCTGGCTCACATCCACTCTGGTCCAGTGAACGAAACGTGGATGCACTCCCGTGCTAACATGTCTCCCCTACAAGAGCGCAGGCCCCAGGAGGCCTGCACAGTCCTCGCCACTGAGCCAGGGCTCAGGAAATATTTTTGAATGAATGATAAAAAGGTTTATTCATCCTTGCTGGGCGATGAAAAAAAAAGCATGAGGTAAGGCTCCTGAGTCAAGTTTGAGATCTGGTTGGAAAGACGAGCCGCTCACACATGAACCCGTCTGAGGTGGGGATGGGTAGATGCCCTGTCCACGTACAGACAACAAGAACATCAGGACGGTGGGTCCCCAAACCACCTGGGCCTCACTCAGGCGTCCAGGACAGCAGACGTGGACATACAAGTGAACAGGACGGAAAAGAAGGGTTACAGTCGGGAAAAGCCACCTGCGGAAGGAATGGGGAGGTTTCCGTGAGCACATCCAGCAGGTCCTCTGTCCACACATCCAAACAAAGGCTCGGGGCTGACAGAACTGCCCAGGGCAAAAGCCGTCCCCAGCTTTCACTCACCGTCCAGGCAAGTAAGGGAGAGGCGATGTCCTGCCTGCCACGCGGCTGGGAGGGCCCAGAGATAATATTCACTATAGCAGCAGGAGGGAGGATGCATAAGGGCAGTGAGGGATTTTGCAGGGAATGGACACCCCCAGGAAAGAACTGCAGCCACTCCTGCAGCTACTCCTTGTCTACCTTCCCCAAACCTGCCGTTTGGGGAAGGTAGACAAGGCCTCACCTTGCTCTTCAGGTGGCGGGGGAGGGTGCACCCGGCAGCAGAGAGGCTGGAAGTGTGGAGAGGGAAGGCCAGGAAAGACAACTCAGCCTGGCCAGAACATCCCCACGCACCCCATGAAAGACTGTCCAGGCCAGGTGAGAGGTGAAGACAGCCCGGGAGGGTCTGAGAGCGCAGGTCCTGTAGCCTTTGACGGGGGGAGGACGGCCGGCTGGGAGGAATCACCTGCTATGGGGGGCTGAGTGGTGGTCCCCAAAGAGACCTGGTTTGGAAAAAGGTTTTTTGCAGATGTAATCAAACTAAGGATCTTGAGATGATGAGCTTATTCTGGATTCAGGATGGGCCCTAAACCCAATGACTAGTGTCCTTACAGGAGGGAGATTTCACAGATGCAGTGGAGAGGGTCATGTGAAGAGGGACTGCCTGCAGCCCCAGAAGCCGGGAGAGGGAGGACGGGACTGT